TGGACGATTCCATAATTTTTGTACAATCGTCAACTAATTTATATAGGGAGCGTGGCCGATTAAATAATGATTGCCAATACATTTAAGTGCCCACTCTTAGCCTTGCTCCAAGGCTGTACTGAAGGTTAAGTCAATGGATGTGTTGCAATTCTATCCTCCTAATAGGCAAGTCTAAATATGTGGAAAGTCTTAGGACTCTTATAGGAACAACGTGCTCTTATTGTTTAAATAATCTAGAAATAATGATTTAAACTAATAAATAACGCTTAGAGACTCACTCTCTGCCATGTATTTCAGGGGACGTGTAAATTGAATTCTCGATAGGCATGAACCGTTAAACGTCGGCTAACGGTCTTACAAAATCGGCACAGCTTCACTAAGGCAAAGAGGTGCATGAACCTTTAAACGTCGGCTAACGGTCTTACAAAATCGGCAAAGCTTCCCTGAGGTAAAGAGGTATATGTACCGTTAAACGTCGGCTAACGGTCTTACAAAATCGGCACAGCTTCCCTTAGGTATAGAGGTGTATAGATAGCTGAACTGGCCTGTACTAAATGCTGCCGCCGATGCCAGCGGCAAACTCTCTATAGTTAGATCTTTATGTCGTTTTCTTAAAGTACATTGAAGATTTTTGTTCGAAAAGTGTTTTATGCCACTGGATACAAAACTCTCACAAGTCGGTTTTATTGCATTTCAATATCTGATGAACGATTTATCAAAATCCAGGAATAGACATCGAGACCTGGTGCCCCAGAGTAGTTATACATGTCGGGTCAGATAGTGAGTTGTGAGTGTAGACCTCAAAGACCATGGGTGTATCGAGGTATACATGTACATGCTATCGAAGTACCCGGATATCTCGAAATACTCGGATATCTGGAAGTGACATGATATATCAAAATATATGCATATTCCTTGCATGCACAATTTTACTTTTGAAATATATTTCGATATACTAACAATTTCCAAATACGTGCATTTGTCACATCAGAGACCATAAAATAAATTTATTTTTATTGACTCTGGTCACAGGCATATGAAAATTGAATCTGACAAGACTTTAGTAGCAAAATTTGCAAATTGAAACTTATTCTAAGTTGAAATTTCAAGATGCTTTGTTGAAAGCAATAAAGTTAACATTTCAAGATAAGATGCTAGGTTGAAATTTATACTAAGTTGAAATTTCAAGATGCTTTGTTGAAATTTCAAGATGCTTTATTGAAATTTCAAGATACTAAGTTGAAATATATACAAAGTTGATATTACAAGGTAATGATCTTGAAATAGAAAGATAATAAGTTGATTTTTAACTTGAAATTTCAACGTATGTATCTTAAAATTTCAACTAACTATCTTGAAATTTCAAGAATAAAAGAAAACATGTGGCCCTAAAAGGCTTCCGTACTTATATACTCCACCTTAAACTCAACATTTTTCATTTAAATTCATCAACATGTATTTTATTAAACTGATTCGAAAATATAAATGGTGCTTTTAATATGAAGCATTATTCTGCAGTATAACAAAAATGTAGTTTCTTTTAACACTACACCAATAATGCAAAAATCCCACACACTCATCCCATTCAATACTTCTGTTTGAATGTAGCATTGCTTTATTGGATATTTATTGTAGCTGGCCAGGTCAAGTCGTTGATTTAAACGCATCAGTAAATACTACGAACACACAGTCGCCTGATAACATTAGATCTTGCAAAGACGGTATCTCCTGTTGGAACTTTTGTTATAGAACATATACCCATTACACTCAACGCAACTATTTTGGGGTCGCCTGCCTATAAAAAAACCTAATTTATATAAATAATGACTGAACTTGAACGTATTGTGACATTGTCATTCATGGCAAAATGTATTACAGAAGGAAAAGAGATACAGGCAAAAGGTCACCAGTGATTGAAACAGATCAATGGGTACCCGACAGTCATGTGCATATAAACTGTTGTAACGCTGAGGACGTGTGTAAAGAGTCAGTGTCTGGTGTAAAATAACACCCCACCCACCTCACCCCTACTTCCGAATCCCTCTGTGCACCTTGCCCTCATCCTCCTGACTAGGTTCATAATCACAGCCTGGGGTATGGCGTTCCCCTCCCGGAGCAGACTTGCTTGCGTCCTAAGATCATGTGGAGCAAGGTGACTCCTGTAAACACGGCACCCTAGCTAGAGCTGGCTAGACTTACTTTTGTATACGTTTCTAGATTGTTTTTTTCTTCATAAAATAAATATATTCCACAGTCATGGTGCAGGACATGTGCAGCTGGTGACAACTGGTTGTGTTCGGGCGATACGATTGTGTTACCATGAACATATATAACGCTTAAATATTGTGAAACTTGGGTCAGTGTTTATCTGCATCTGCATTAATTGCAAAGGTTCAAATGTTGTTTTCATTAATACAGACACAAACTTTAACTTTAATGTGTTTTTTAACAAGTGGGGCTTTGCTTAGTATTAGTTTTATATTTAAATAGGAGTCATTCAATAATTATTGTATCGTCCTTTACTATATAAGTGACTATTCAATAGTTGTGTTGAGTATATATCGAATTATTTCTAAGAATTAAAGAGCATTATCTAATGGTTCTATCTCTCCGCGTATGAGTTCAGGACACGCTATGGTGTGTGATGTCTGTTACTCACAGGAACGATGTAGGATATCGACCATTTTTTGAAATGTTAAATATTTTAGTAATACTACAACTTGAAACTATAGGAATGAACATTGTCATTGACATTGACATGTCCAAATGAATGACTAGCATTTCTTTTTTATTACACTTGCAGATTTTACGACTTCTGACGTGATTGTTTAAATAAGTATGTGCAAAAATGGCCGATTTTTCGAAGAGAAACTACGAGTATGAATAAGTGAGTGACCCAAACTGAAGTTTTTATAATATGTTTCTACGGTATTATCTTCATATCCTGAGAACATGTTCTTGGGTCAAATATTAGAAAAACACATTTTGCTTTACCCGTTGATTCATCAGCACCCAAACATGCAATATTGTTGAATTGAACCAAGTCCGATTCTTATTCATAAGCAATAATCTGAAGACTGTCATAATTCTTTGTAAAAGATTACTAATTTCATTAAAATAGACAAGCCTGAGACAGACAAGGCCCTTATACTGTACCTTGTCCTTTTAAATTTAGGGAAAACTGACGAGGGATTTTAAAAATAAAATAAATGATTGTCTTTAGAATATGCGTGTTTACACAGGTAAAAATCAAGGTTATCGGTATCTTCAAATTTGTCGAAAAGCATTTTCGAGGTTTTTAGGGAGCACTTTGTTTTTACAAAATTGTAATATTTTAATGTGATAAGATCCTGGGCACATGCTGATTTTCTTAGATGTTATAACTACAGATAGGGCATGAAGCGAACACTTCAGCCCTTGGTATGTTGTTATTGGTATGTTTTGTTTGACAGCATGCAATTCATGTATTAAGTACTTACTCTGTATTTTATGTTGTTTGTTTGTTGTTTGACGTCGCACTCAGCGATATTTCAGCCATATAACGGCGGTCTGTAAATAATCGACGATCCAGGGATTGATATCATGACCATCGATCTTCGCAATTGGGATACGATGACATGTATCAACCAAGTCACCGGGCCTGACCACCCGATCCCGTTAGTCGCCTCTTACGACAAGCATGGTTGCTGAAGACCTATTCTAATCTGGATCTTCACGGGTTTCATTAAAAGTCCAACGTTTACAATATCAGAAGGGAAAATTGATAACCTTTGGTCATTTGAGTAAACTGTACTTAATATCATTATATTATTTAAAATTTATTAATTTAATATTCAAACACGTTCGTTATGCCCGGTACTCTAATCAGTAAACACATATTACGACGTACAACGTAATTCATATACCAAAGCACACTCTCAAACAATAATTCAAAGTCACTTCGTATACAGGGAATTCGTGAGATAGTTTTGAAATATTACCTCAAAATACAACAAAAGTGTGAAAATTCGTGACGTTTAAAGCCATCCTGCTGATAAGAAAGATATGAATGCGAATAGCCTGCAGATATTGATTCAATCAAACGTCGCCCCGGGCAACCTGCTGTATTCTCACGAGCTGCTGGTGTATAACTGAGCGATATGTCAATTACATCGTCCCCCCTTGTTATCCAAGCTTTACTTACAGCTGGTGTGTTATCAATATCAAAATCTCCGTCTATTGTGGGGAATGCACTTTGATACATAATACAAAACTTCCTTTGATGATAGTGACGATCGTTTGAGAGCGATGTGATTGTGCAAATTGTGTTGATGTACGTGGTTTGTAAGTGGATTTGATTGAATGCTCTCTTCATCTTTGGTATGTGGTTTATAGAGGGATGTCATGCATCGCTTGAAGTTGACGTTGATCACAACATGGTGTAGAGTAAACATGTGTTGAAAGCGTGATTGGAGTGTGAAACGTAGATATATCATCCATACATTTCAAAATATGCGACATGAAAAAGCATCTTCACGAAGCGAATCATGATTTACAGGATTGTTGGCCACGCCGTAATGCAAAGAGCATTGTTGACGTGCGCTTGTTTGTTTGTTGTTTAACGCCACACTCAGCAATATTTCATCTTTATGACGGCGTTCTGTAAATAATCGAGTCTGGACTGACAATCCAGTGATTCACACCATTGACATCGATCCACGCCATTGGGATACGATAACATGCTTCACATATTAGTCTATATGGTAATGTGATAAATCACTTGAATAAGACACAATATTGAATTATTATCTTGCGCAGATAACATGAGACCCGTGAAGATTCGAGGTAGGACAGGTCTTCAGCAACCCATTCTTGCCGTAAAAGGCAACTGTCTTGTCGTAAGAGGCGACTAACGGGATCAGGTTTTCAGTCTCGCTGATTTGGTCGCCTATGTGTAAAATGTATCATCATCATCATCATCATCATCATCATTAATATTATTATATTTTTGCCTCATCCAGAAATGCGACGACGCAGTTGTGTCGGACAAGAAGGAGTTCCCGACGTTTGCGAGGACGCAGCCCCCGAGTTCCCACTCTGCTACTCAGGTGATGGCGCTGATGCGCTACTACGGATGGAGCAAGTTCACCATCGTTGTCGAGAAGAATGACCTCATGGTGCGGGCTGCCGAGAACCTCAAGTACCTTGCTGAGTTTAACAACATGACCGTCAACGACCTCGCCAACTTCACCGGGCCCTACAGCCACTCCCACAACTTGCCGGAAATCAGCGCAATAGTCATGAGGACGTATCTCAGGACAAGGGGTAGGTATAACTCCTACACGGCAATTTTGTTGTAGAAAAAATATACTGTATCTTAACAAAAGTAGGGCATAACTTAATATAAATGTCAATATGATGTATTAGAACAAAGATAAGTGTGGACGAAAAGCATCCTGTGCCAGAACGTTTTTGTCTGTAAAACGTAACACCAAAACATCTCATCTCAGTGCTGACCGGCCACCTCGACTTATCACCCCTTACATATCGTCATATTGCCATCAGACGTCAATGGTGTACACGATGCCGAAACTGGGGTAATCGTCGCTGGCCACGTGTTCAGATGAGTCCCGATTCTCTTTGCACTTGGGGCGGTCGGGTAGCGTAGTAGTTAAAGCGTTCGCTCGTCACGCCGAAGACCCGGGTTCGATTCCCGAAATGGGTACAATGTGTGAATCCCATTTCTGGTGTCCCCTGCTGTGATATTGCTAAAGGCGGCGTAAAAATATACTCACTCTCTCACTTTGCACGTAATCGTGTCCTGCGACGTTGAAATCAACGTCACTGGACAATACTATCGGGACAACATACTGACACCTTTTGATGTCCCGTTTGCAAGGCGTGTGGGTCGCCGTTTTGTCTTTCAGGACGACAACGCCCGTGCTCACTGTGCACGAATAGTCAATGTTCACCACAACCAGCACAACATCCACAGAATGTCATGGCCAGCAATGAGCCCAGACCTTTCCCTCATTGAGCACGTGTGTGACGAGCGAACTTGGCCGCCGCTGTAAGATGAGTTGGACAGACTCCCTCAAATCGCCATTGCTAGACTCCTACGCAGTGTGCCTCGTAGAGTGAATGAATGTTGGACAAATCGTGGCGGTATTACGCACTACTGATCCCAAAACGTCAACTTTTAAAAACTCCCATCTTACCCCTTCAAGATCTTCGTTGGCGGTCATACTTCACTACCGGTTGTTATGTGTCCCCAATTCGTTCATTATTATCATACACTTGAAACAAGAAAACTAATATCTCTTACAATTTTTGTAATTTTAAGTTATCAGAGTATCCCCTACTTAGTTTAAGACTATTAGATACATCAAAGTACAATGTAGTTGTAGTAGTCGTGGTAGAGTTTTCTTTGTATTTATTTTTATAACGGGACACGGTTGTTTTAATCAAGTTTTTTCTTTGAGAAGCCCACTCTTTAAATACGTGATTTACGGATATTTTTCGAAATACATAATGTTTTTCGGTCTGTAATCGAAATGAAAAAAAAAACCATTTAAATAAATAGCGTTTGTTCTGTAAGTGATCCCTTATAAGCTTTGGGTCAAGCGAATAGAGAATATATATAAATGTACGAAAAAATTGCTATTGTGAGTGAAAGATGTATTTTCCTTCCGCTTGGGGCTTACTTTGAAGATGTTTTCATTTCTGAGATTAATTAATTTCTACGGAAAGAAAACAAGGTTCATCTTTTTTTCTGAAATATCTTCTAAATATTCCCAGCAGTTAGAAACATTAAAAGACGTATTGTATTTTGTAGCAGGTTTGTGAATTCTGCGGTAGAGGTTTTGAACAGTATCAGTTATATCACAGCATGTCTGCTTCATATGGGAGGACGATGCACGAAATGATGCAGGTCTAGTTCTGCGGACATACCACATATGCTGACAAACCAAACATCACAATAAGGATGATTCTGGGATTAGAACCTATGATCCTAGGACCCAAGGGACGCAACTCTGAACAGCCAGTTCCATCGTCAAAGATGATCGGGCTACCCGTGCCTTTTATATTTAAGAAGTAATCAAATATTGAATTATGTGACAGATGTTTATTCTTGTATGTATATTTAATGTATAATGTCGTCATGACGTCATCTGCGCCCTTTCAGTGTACGTCCTCTACTCCCGTATCCCCGCCTTCATCGACTTCGTCCGCTTCCTCAACCGCCTCGGGCTCACGGACACCGGCGAATACGTCGTCATCGGCATCAGAGACGACGAAACTTACAACCCCGAATCCAACACCGATTTCATATTTAGAGGTTTGTCAGACTCTTAAACACTTCTTATTCAGTAAGTGCATGGTTTTGATAATGTGTTCCAAATACCCTTTCAACCTTATTCTCGAATTTATAAGTAATTAATTGTCATTTCCTTATCTCGATATCAACACTACGGCGGCCAGTCCCATTGATTACGATAGAGTTTGGGAGAAATTCAACGTTGAAAGAATGACTGACACGCAAAAGAAAGCCCTAAAAATATTTCTGATAGCAAGGATGTCTTCATGACAATTAAAACTGGCGCTGGCCTTGGCTTCTAGGCAATACGAATTATCTCCCTTACCCATTTCCATTTTTCTTATCTCGACGTTTCATTGGTCGGTAAAATGTCACTGAAAATCAAGGGCAGGTAATTTGAGCTTCAATCGTAAACAACGGGAATGGTTCGTATCCCACTTGCGTAGATCGATGTTCATGATATCAATAACTGGATTGTCTGATCCAGACTCGGTTATTTACAGACCGCCGCCAAAAAGCTGGAATATTGCTGAGTGCAGCGTAGAACATAAAACAAAATTTTAAAATATCAATCTTAAATTTATAAATATATCTGGTTTTGTAGCTGTGGCTGAAAAATATATCTAATCTCGATTAAAAAATCCCAGCAGCTTCCTAAAACACCCACATCCAACCCAACACCCAACCCCCACACCCACACCCACCCCTGGAATATCAAATAGTCGGTCCTGCTGACTCTGCATGGGGTTCTTACAGAGACCGAGTACGAGTCGGAGAGAACAGTAGAAGATGTGATGGCGTTCCAGCCCGTCCTGCAGCTTCAGTCCCGACCCCCCACCAACCCCAACTACACCCAGTGGCAAGACGAGGTGCGGAGCTTCCTGTACCGACCCCCTATCAACTTGCCCCCACCGCCGCCGTTACACGTGCTTCTTAACTTCAAGGTCAAGGTGAGACAGTAGGAAACAAAGGTCAGAGGACATCCTATTACAGGTCACGTCTGAACAACCTTTCACGAACTTAAAGCTTTGACTGACCAATGAAATGACAGTAGTAGCAAGAAGTGGACATGCATTAGCCAATCAGAAAGCAGCTTTCTCGAGCTTTACAGCACTAGTTTCAAACTGCTGACTTTAACGCTTTGAAACATATCGAGTCAAAATTTGAAAACTGAACAAACGAAAATTTCGGAATGTCTCATAAATTTAGATGACCAAGATAACATAACAGTACTTCCCACGGGCCATGGAAAGTCTCATCCGTTTGCCTCGCTGAGACAAAGACGATGATTTTGACGAAATCAGTCGAACAGCCCGTTACCGTCATTCGGGATACCCCGTGTTAAACATTTCGAGGTTGCATGATCAGAATACACATTCCGACTTTCACATCCATATCTGGTAAGCGACGCTCTGATTGGTCGGATGAAAGATCTTGCCGACGTGATGTGTGACCCCTAATGGGATATCCTCAGGCTTTTCTTTAGCGGTATATTTCTTTTTTTATTTATTGATATTGTAGGAATGAAGTCAGTGGAAGCAACCAAGCGTCGGAACAATTGCCTGGGATTGCTTTTAATAGATACAATTGAACATCATTACTATCGATTAATCGGTTGTGTCCAGTTCCTTTAATTATTTCATTTTTTACTTCTGATAAGTCGATTCGGAAGTGTCGAATAGTCGGTTAACTCGGACTGATTTCGTTAGTAGTTCGTTATGAGAAATGAAAAGACCAAATTTCCCACCATTGTCTGTTTTACATGACTACTTCCACTGAAACAATACATGCAGCCTTTGAAATTCGTTTTATTTCAACTAGTTCAGCGGAGAAGTGGAACCTTATTTTATGAGTTTATAGCTGTTCCTTCTTGAACGAGACCACCATTTCTGTCAGTTTTACTCAGTTCCAATTCATAGAAAAATTTAAAGCCTTGAGAACTGGCTCAGAATTATAGCCCTCAAATGCTCCTAGTCAATGAGGACAACCATCATTGTATTTTTACTTGTCTTCAGCACAATATTGTTCTCTCGGGCTAGCGGACCAGCGCAATTTTCGAAGCAAAAAGTCATACCCTGTGTAATTGTCATTCGTGGGGTTTAGGTGTTTATGGGGCTCTGTGTCTATCCTTGCTGAATGGTTTAGTCACATGCTCGTCATCCAAAGACTCGAATACATACAGGCTGACGTTGTATAGCTGGAATATATACAGGCTGCCGTCATATGGCTGGAATATATACAGGCTGCCGTTGTATAGCTGGAATACATACAGGCTGCCGTTGTATAGCTGGAATACATACAGGCTGTCGTTATACAGCTGGAATACATGCATGGTGCCGTTATATAGCTGGAAGACATACAGGCTGTCGTTATATAGCTGGAATACATACAGGCTGCCGTTATATAGATGGAATACATACAGGCTGCCGTTATATAGCTGGAATACATACAGGCTGCCGTTATATAGCTGGAATACATACATGCTGCCGTTATATAGCTGGAATACATACAGGCAGCCGTTATATAGCTGGAATACACACAGTCTGCCGTTGTATAGCTGGAATACACACAGGCTGCCGTTATATGGCTGGAATACATACAGGCTGTCGTTGTGTAGATGGAATACATACAGGCTGCCGTTATATAGCTGGAATACATGCATGGTGCCGTTGTATAGCTGGAATACATACAGGTTGCCGTTGTATAGTTGGAATACAAAATAGGCTGCCGTTGTATAGCTGGAATATATTTTGCTGACTGCGTCGCAAAACAGAATTCACCAACTAACTCTTTCCATGTGATCCTCGCCCTGACATGTTTGCCAAAGCTCCGACTGTGCCTACTCTCCCACCACATGTGTTTTCCCTCGGGGACTTTCCGCGTTAGAATTCTTCAGTCTTAAGCAACCCATTCTTGTCTTAAGTGAAACTCCTATAATGCGGACGATAGCGCCCCAATTGAAACCAAAATTATCAAATTTTCGAATTAACGAACCAGTGGCACAGAGTGATGCCGCTTTGTATACAGGTAATCGCCCCCAGCAGTACTCGTAGGTAAGGGGGTCCGGATTAGGGAAGTCGGATACAAGAGGTGATTGTATTCTGTAACAGTAAAACCGCAAATAGTGAAGCACTGAAACAATGGGAAGTCTTATCGATGTATCTAAACTGTTCCTCTGAACGCTTCTAGGTCACGATTTTCGCCGCCTACTTGTATGATGCTGTCCTGGTATACGCACGTGCTATACATGAGCTGCTCAACGAAGGGGGTGATCCGAAAAATGGAACTGCTGTGTTTGAAAAGATCCGGAACAGGACTTACGAAAGTGAGTCACAGTTTAAATTCGTCAATGTGTCCTAAATATTTCATAGATTAACATACAAATACATGTGTGATATAAATCATCAAGTATAGCTTTCGAACATACAAATACATGTGAGAAATAAATTATCAAGTATAGCTTTCGAACATACAAATACATGTGAGATATAAATTATCAAGTATAGCTTTCGAACTATCGTCAAGACTTGTATCGAAGCTGTAGCTATCTTGTTCCCAAGGTCATTGTTTACTGACCAAATGGCCGACCATTGTCCGTGGCGTCACAAGGCAAGGGCGGCTGAATGAGGTCACTTTTATGCATATTCGTTTAGTGCGATGCATATGGATGCTTTTGGATAATATTAGAACCATTTTTACGTATGTTTATGGGACTATTAATTTACTTTTTTATGTGCGGGGGACCAAGTCATCTAAGGCGCTGCTACTCGCTGTGCAGAGTTGCGTCCCTTGGGCACGCAAGAAACCTATGATTGTGGGTTCGAATCCCGGTTCGCCCCGATTATGTTTCTAGGTTTGTCAGAACTATACCCGTGCTTTTGGATTTCACCGAAGTGGTAAACGTCTAAGACCTGCATCAATTCGGGCTTTCCTCCCACATTAAGCTGACACCCCGTGATATAACTGGAATACTCATTAAAGCAGCGTTAAAACCCACCTCAATCACTCACTCACTCACTTTTTATGTGCGGACTTTGTCAGTATGTACTCTTGGGTGTATGAAAACGTCGAACAAACTTTCAATCGAAATATTTACAGTTTCGATCGTAGCAAATTAATTATCATAATTATGTTAATTTTCATCTCAAAAGCGGGGTATGAATGTATCATAGACTTGGTGTATTTTCGCAAACATTTTGAACCATAAACCTCCTAAACAGCTCCCACATTCTTTCTCTACCCTCTCCATGATGCTAGCCCCCTTTGAAGAATCTCTCTTGTTAAGAAAGTCGCCTCATATTCTTATGATTTTCATGCAGACATACCTGGAGTTTCAAATCACGCAACATACCATGAAGCAATCTATGCATGCCGTAAGAGACGAGTAACGGCTTCGGGTTGTCAGACTCGCTGACCTGGTTGATACATGTCATCGTATCCCAATTGGGTAGATCAATGCCCATGATGTCATTCACTGGATTGTCCGGCCATGATTCGATTATTTACCGACCGCTCTTATGTAACTGGAATATTACAGGGTTAAAGAACAAAATTAATGAAAAAAACATAATATGATGCAGGTATTGAGGGTCACCAGATCTACATTGACGAGAAGGGGGACGCGGAGGCCAACTACACCGTCCTGGCGTTACGGAGAAAGAACAACACCTTCGGCTTCGACCTCAAGCCCGTGGGCTGGTTCTTCAGAGACTCGTCCAATAAATACATCGTAGGTGTTGTCTATCTGTTCACGTACATATGGAAGTCTTTGTTTCAAGTACCGCGATAGTGTCCATGTATTTCGTGTAGCTTTCTAAACGCATCCTTTTTTTAAATGATTATGGGTCAAACGAATCCCGCTCGTCACGCCGAATGCCAGGGTTCGATTCCCCTCATGGGTACAATGTGTGAAGCCTTCTTCTGGTGTCCCCGTTGTGATGTGGTGGGAATATTGCTAAAAGCGGCGTGAAAACATATTCACTCACTCAAATGAAGGCCATCAGAGGTTTCAAATCATAATAACATGCCTCTAATTAAAAGTTGATAATGAGACCGCATCGCCGCCTGTGAAGTTTCAGAGTCGGTAAACAACTTCCTTATGAGTATCCATGTATGTAGCATGAAAAGGAAGAATTGATATTCAACATTTGAAGACTCGCGATGCCTTATGGCATCCGCCGGGTAAATATATAGGTTGAGTATTCACACTGAGTTATTGATTTGTGTTTCCCACTAAATGCCAATTGAATTAAGACACAATGTTACGTTACGGGTGTTCCATTGGCCTAAGACGCCGCAAACCTATGATTGTGGGTTCGAATCCCGTTCGCCTCGATTATGTTTCTAGGTTTGTCAGCACCATACCCGTGCTCGTGGGTTTCACCAAAGTGGTAAATGTATGATACCTACATCACTTTCCTGCCAAATTAAGCTGACACGCCGTGATATAACTGTAATACTGTTAAAAGCCGTGAAAACACCACTCACTCTCTCTCTCTCTCTCTCTCTCTCTCTCTCTCTCTCTCTCTCTCTCTCTCTCTCTCTCACACACACACACACACACACGTCTTTAACCATCCTGCTTCCTGGCTTCCCTATACAGGAGTTTGTGGAGGACCTGCCCGTGTACGGCCCGTCGTCTGTCCCCCTGGATGAACCCCTGTGCGGGTATGGCGGGGAGAGGTGTAAACCTGTAGAGAGTAAGTCGAGTTAACTGATATCTTCATTTGTTCATTTGCTATCATGTCCTATTCATGATGCATCATGAACGAGTATTTCATTAAAATCAAACCTTTTACACCGATACGATAACTCTCTGCAAGAGAGGACAAGGTCGAGACAAGGAGGTGAACTTTCTGATCAGCCAATCAGCTTCTAAAGTCTCAAAGCTTTCATTCAAAACAGTTCCGAAGTTAGACAGTATAGCCGTGCCATTATATTATATGGATATTCATACATCCTCTCGTTTCTGAGCACCGTGACTTCTACATACACAAGGGAGTACAACAGAAGGAATTGTTGCATTCAGTGTGAGTTGTACAAGGGGACAAGGGTGGCCCAACCGTATAGGGCGCCGTGATTCGCTGGGCAGAGTTGCGTCCCTTCGGGTTTCACCGAAGTGGTAAACGTCTGAGACCTGCATTACTTCGGGCTTTCCTCCCACATTAAGCTGACACGCCGCGATATAACTGGAATACTGTTAAACGCGGCTTTAAAACCCAACTCACTCACTCACTGTCATTTGAACATATCGAAAATTTCCGAATCGAAGTGGTTAAAAAAATGAAGCCAAATCGTTTAAGAAAGCTGACAGCTGATTGGCTCACGATCAAGCACACATGAACCCTTCATTCAGATTGGGCGGTCAAAGTGAGGTCAGGGTTCACCTGACGTGAACTTCTATGGAGCCTGAGATCTTCATCAGATCTTAACGCAGAGAGGTATCGTATTAGATTAAAATAATATGTTTTTTATAAGATCACACCAACGACACCTGTTACGAAGTTTGTGTTCAACAAAAAATTCCATTAAATATAATTGTCATAAAAGTACAGAGTTTATAATATAGAAATCCAAATTTAATCACTTTTCAGATCATTTTAGTGATGATTATAGTGTAATCGATTTTGGAATCGATCCATGTCTGTATTGGTATCAATTGCATCATAATTATACTTATACGGTATGAATATACGGTTGTGCTTTCATCCTCTATCGACGTAATAACGTTAAACAGCCCAGTATAGTATGGGAATAAATGCATTCGATGCGTATTGTTCATTTCCTGTAAAATGTACCGCTTTACCTGTATGGCCGCAGATTATGTGGGCTTCATTGTCGGCGGATGCCTAGGAGGCCTGTCTCTGATTGCAGCAATCATCATGCTCACTGTGTACAGGTGGGTTCACACTTAGAGAAATAACAAGGATCAGGCTTTGGGAAAAAATGATGTACTTATAGAAGAATATTTTTTAAAATGGCTAAGTAACAAGCTTTTATTCTCATACATCAGAAACCTTGTGTCCAACTATGGCGGCATAGTCAAGGAAAAGATAACTCTTCCGTTAAATTCCGGACAATAATTTCGTTTTTAGAATTTGATTAAAAACGAATATATTTACCGAACCAAACCAAATTAATGATTGTTCTGAAAAACGATTGTGGAAAAAATAATTTTGTTATTATTAATGTTATCTAAATAACATTTATGTTTATAATGATTACATATTACAATTCGACCGCGTCCTTGGTCTACTGGTAGAGCGTCCGCCCGGAGAGCGGAAGGTCCGGGGTTCGATCCCTGCCCGCGTGATACCAAAAGACGTTAAAAGATGGTACTTGTTGTTACCCTGTCTGGCGCTCGGCATAAAGGGGCTGAAACAAGGACTGGTCGGCTCAGAGTCAGTATACTGTGTCTTAGTGGGATATATATGTTAAACTGCGGCATGGTATCTCAGTGTGCTAGCACTATAAATCGGCATCAGTCCGGACCAGTGCAAGCAGCCACACCCACACGTGTATGCACGTCGCTTAACCCAATTTCATCACCATCACCATTACATATTAGAATTCATATATAATATTTCATCCCATTGGAAATTATTGTTAGTTTAGCTTGTATGTTTATAAGAAATAGATCTGTCATCATTATTCAATGCAAAACCGAAAGAGTGTTTAAATTGTAGTTTCATAATTTTAGATGATCAATTACATTCACATACGTCTGCTTTAGAGAGGAACTATTACCGTATTATTCATGCATTCGTTTGCTGGTTTTGCTGGTGCTGACTCTATCGTTGTACTGACTGCGGCATAAAATAACATGTACTCTGTTTGTAAGGAACTGGCGGTATGAGATGGAGGTGGCCAGTCTCATCTGGAAGATCGATCTGAAGGACATCCAGCAGCAACCGGGGGCGGCCTTCTCCGTCCTCTCCTTCGTCAGCAACACCGCGGTGCGTGACCACCATGTACTATGTCACATGATACACCGGTATAGTTGCGTCCCTTGGTCACAAAAATGGCCACGAGAGGAGCACGAGTCGCTATTCGGCTTGTCCCGGAATAACACGAGTTGGCCATGAATGCGAGCGGAAATTCTAAAATCACTATCCTGGAGAGTGTTACTTTGTTGACCACGTATGGTGTGTATGTATGCTGCGTGCGGCGTAAAACAACAAAAAATCAAAACCTTGAGTGATGAATGTTTACAAGCGTTTTGTTCTGTTTACAGGAAAATGAAACACTCATAAAATCTTATCTCTGCTGTTCTTACACGATATCCACATCGAATGTTTGTTTATTTATTTGTTGTTTATCGCCGCACTCAGCAATATTCCAGCTATATGACGGCGGTCTGTAAATAATCAAGTCTAGACCAGACAATCCAGTTACTGAAATCATGAGCATCGATCTACGCAATTAGGATACGATGACATGCATCGATCAAGTCAAGCGAGCCTGACCACCCGATCCCGTCAATCGCCTCTTACGACAAGCATGGGGTTGCCGAAGGCCAATTCTAACCCGGATCTTCACGGGTCCATATCGAATACCACATGAATGGTATCTCGGGTATATCTGCATGAAAATGATAAGAATGTGACGGGGCCTTAAAAAGAGAGCTTCTTAACTGATGGTGTGTCCCTATCGAAACAAATAAATATTTTTATGCCTTTGGCGAGTCTGAGACCTATTTTATATTCCTATTAGTTATGAGATGTCCTCATTTGCATATTTTTCGGATCCGGATACCACTTTTATCTAATTGTTTTATCGCATCGATAACACTACCCATATCATGATAAAAGTTTTTTTTCTTGTCTCAAATATTCGACTTCGTGTTAACTATGTAGTTTTCTTCCTAATATTGCCAAAAAAATGAGACAGAGGCGGTAAATAGGTCATTGCTTAAGTTAAAAGATAGAACGATGCTAGGCTTAAGTTACCAAGGGGATAAAGACTAGTTCGTCACAATTCAGACAACGTCGGCGGCGGAGTGTAGTTGGATTGGTATACGAAGTCCTCAGCCAAGTGGCCGTGTTGCAAGTTTATGCCTCTGTTCACCCAGCAGAGTACAGATAATGGGTACCCGGTAGGATGAGATGGTAATGTGAATGCGAAACATCTAGAACCCTTAAAGGCATACTTCTGACCGGTGTCATAATTTCAAGTGCCATTAGCATGCTTGATGTGGAGCAGGATAAATTTGCTTTATAAAACAGTCTACGAAAACACCATATGACGTTCACATGACTATTGTAGGGTGTACTGAAGAGTCATACAAGCCTGAGTTTCGGCCAGGATCGTAACGAACAGAAGTTCACCAAGGCCGGCGTCTACAGGAGCACGCTGGTCGCCATGAAGCTGGTGAAGAAGCGACAGCCGGACCTCACAAGGGAGGTAAAGCTGGAGCTCAAACAGGTCAGTACAGGTCATCGTGGTGGTTCCACCAGGTCAGTACAAGTCATCGTGGTGGTTCCACCAGGTCAGTACAGGTCATCGTGGTGGTTCCACCAGGTCAGTACAGGTCATCGTGGTGGTTCCACCAGGTCAGTACAGGTCATCGTGGTGGTTCCACCAGGTCAGTACAGGTCATCGTGGTGGTTCCGACAGGTCAATACAGGTCATCGTGGTGGTTCCACCAGGTCAGTACAGGTCATCGTGGTGGTTCCACCAGGTCAGTACAGGTCATCGTGGTGGTTCCACAAGGTCAGTACATGTCATCGTGGTGGTTCCACCAGGTCAGTACAGGTCATCGAGGTGGTTCAACCAGGTCAGTACAGGTCATCGAGGTGGTTCCACAAGGTCAGTACATGTCATCGTAGTACATGTATTCCTGGTGGCGCAAACAGGGCGGGCCAAACACATTATTTCGACAGCCGTTTTTGACAAAACGATGTTAAAGAACTTAGGACACACCTATTTTTATGTTCTTGCATTGGTCGCACATTGAACCATAGTGAGTCATACAGACCCTGAAACTAATATATCCAATAAAGCCCATGCAAGTCTATGCTGTTTGGTGGCTCCTTCTGATTATATTTTATTACTGAAATTTAACAACTGTTTTTTTTCTGTAAAATATGTTCATTTCAGAGACTAGATGTTAGTCTAATTGAACCAGTTACCGGTCTTTAAGGCAGACTTTCGCCCCTTAGCCGGGATAGGATCCGAGGTTCATTGGTTCGAATCCCAGCAGCGTCCTGACTATTATCCTTCGCCTCGCAGCAGCCTGTCTGTCCTGGGGGTCTTCATAAACATGATAAATGTCTAGAATTCCACCACTAGACATGCTTTCAAACCGCATTAAATCCAACTCACTATGTCACATCCTAGATGAGGGACCTACGACACGACAACATCGTGCAGTTTATTGGCGCATGCGTGGAACCCAATGAGGTGTACGTCATCACGGAATATTGTTCCAAAGGAAGCCTGGAGGTAACTTTCTCTTGAAATGCAGCTAAAACCTTGAAGTTGGTATTTTATAAGATTGTTAGATATACCATATTCGAAAAGCATAGGCCTAGTTTTGTGTAATAATTACTCAGTAACTTAATAATAGCATTCGTATTGTTAGTGTTATATTTCTAATATAATGTAGCATTAATGTATGATTTAAATTCATGGCACCGTACTCGTGAATGTGGGTTTCACAAAAGTGTTAAACGTCTAAGACATGCATCACTTCGGGCTTTCCTCCCACATCAAGCTCACCCGCCGTGATATAACTGGAAAACTGTTCCACCCGGCGTTTAAACCTTTTTTAAACCAACTCACTGGCTGTTCTTCTCACAATGTAATATGTTAATCTGCTGTAAAGTAGAGCTACATTCTTCTGCAGGACATTCTGGAGAACGACGACGTCAAACTCGACACCATGTTCATTGCCTCCATCGTCGCTGACATACTCAAGGTGATACATGAAGGAGTATCTCGACAGCAGATAATCCCTTACTCCCGATAAACGGATTAGCATAATCCTCTTTATAACACGGAGTAATGTATTAGCTAATGGTCTTCCAATAACTTTGGATGAAGGTAACTGTGGTTTAGGATGCTGTCTGTTAGGTTGCGTTTTAAGATAAAAAACATTTATTAAGACTTTAGAACTCTTGTCACCTATCAGCTGGTTAATCGAGCTGAAACAAACAACTGATGACGACAGGTCACCACACTGTCAACATATGTATGAAACTGAAAATAGCGTAGGCAATTTCGTTTCGGGTTATTTTTTTAAACAAAAATCATCATTAACAGTACGAACATAATATTATTCAACCTATGTAAAATATGAAATATATTTTACACGCCTTATTGCTTTTCTTTTCCAAATGTTTATGATTGAACACACAAAACGATCACTTGGCTGATGACATTTCTATCGATGACACACACTACTTTCCTTCAAACTACAGCCAGGTCACTTTTTATGATTGAGACCTTTCTAGGTTAATTCGATGTTAATCTCCACAACTACTGTTTCAACTGATAACATCATTATATATATATTTGTTTGGGGGCAGAATGTTATCCTTGAATAGTCATGCTGAATCTCTTATGTCAGCCAGTGCAACTTGTTTTCGTCGGTTGTACTGAAAATACAATTTTCGTGCCTTTTATAGTTTATCAGTAAGCGATGTGAGGTTTAGCTGTTTCCACTGATCAACTCCACAATGTACCCTGTTTTCGTGCATGGCATAGTTTAGCATTTTGTGATGTGAGTGTTTTTGTTAACTACACTTATCATCAACTCGACAATGTACCCATAATTCGTACATGTCATAGTTTATCAGTTAGTGATGTGAGTTTATTCAGTAACTGCACTGATCATTAAACTACACTGATCATCAACACCACAATGTACCCAGTTTTCGTGTTGTCAGGGCATGGTGTACCTACATCAGAGTGACGTGGGGAGCCACGGTGACCTCAAGTCCTCCAACTGCCTCGTGGACAGTCGATGGGTGGTCAAGATCAGCGACTTTGGCCTCAACAAGTTCAAGAGTGGACAAGAGATACCTTATCACGGGGAACACGCGCACTATAAACGTACGTCGTGTTGTCAGACGAAGCGCACATACAATCATCAAGTCTAGCTTGATGGTGTTGGAATATCGTGGGAATGCGTTAAAGTTGTTATAAACAATGTTCGAACGGAATGGAATCGCACTTTGGCCAGACCAGTGGTGAAAAGTATGAGAAACTATATAGGTGTCTGGTTACGTTGACACATCATCAATCAGCTGACGCATTTGGTTGTACGGTTACCGTGTAGCCTTAAGTACGTTTATTGTATCCTATTGTCAGTCAGGGGGCACGGGTGGCCCAGTCGTCTAAGGCGCCGCGATTCGCTGTGCAGAGTTGCGTCCCTTGGACACTTTAGAAACCTATGATTGTGGGTTCGAATCCCGGTTCGCCCCGATTATGTTTCTAGGTTTGTCAGCACCATACCCGTGCTCGTGGGTTACACCAAAGTGGTAAACGTCTGAGACCTGCATCACTTCGGGCTTTCCTCCCACATTAAGCTGACACGCCGCGATATAACTGGAATACTGTTAAAAGCGGCGTTAAACCCAACTCACTCACTCACTATTGACAGTCAATTGCTTCTTTTCCGGAATCCTCACGGACCTAAATGGAAATGAAATTCCTTTGAGTTAGACTCACAATATCGTTTTTCTATTTGTTCAAACCGTACGTCGATTGTTCATATAAAATGAAACGCTTTAAATCCAACCCCTGTAACTCGAAATATCGACAACAATATGATTTGAGATTAGCACCTCGCTTGTCACGGACTATGGATAACTCGATATTCTATTATGGTCGTTCGGACCACGAGTTAGCGATGTTTTCACTGCGTCTAAGATAAAGCTACATCTCTTTTAGTTACTCTTAAAAAAACCTTGAATCAGAATTGGAAATAGATAGTGCAAGATTTGCAAATATCCTTTCTCGAGTTTTTTTAGTTACATGTTTTGCTTTTATTGGCAGGTAGTCTGTGGATGGCACCAGAACTGCTACGTCTGTCCAAGCCCCTCCGAGGGGGGACCCAAAAGGGGGACGTCTACTCCTTTGGTATAGTCCTGTACGAGATCCTGCTCCGAGTCGGCCCATGGGGGGAATGTCATCTCACACCAAAAGGTGCGTTGTTGTGAATAAATAAGTGAGTCGGGTTAAGGCAGCTATTGACACTCACATACATTTACCATTTTGGTGAAACCTACAGGCACGGGTATGGGTATGGTAAATAGTTTTAATTTGTAGCCGGTGGTTCCCAATTAAATTTTAGGTATCAACTATTCAATGATACCCGCACATATGAAAACACATGTTTAACACAATTGAGCTGGGTTTTTTTTCCCGCAGCCCCATCTTTCTACTCGAACTAAAATTACGTCACTCTGGAATTCTATGACGTCATGCATTTTGTTATAATTGAACCCACTCAGCTGGGCTCCGCCTCTTAATATCACAATATAGACGACGCGCATAGACAGCAGGGAACCAGCTTACTGAACCTACCTGGTAGGAATTATATTGAGAAAAATACCCCAGTTAAACCGAAGTTGTTATGATAATATTTTATTCATCAAGTTGTGTAGGCTATAGTCCGATCCTTCATTATATATTTCACAGTGTGTGAGAAGTTTAATGTATAAAATACAAGTACAATTTAATTTACACAGATGGCAACCACATTGCTTTTGTCTGTAAAGGTAGCAAGGTTTGAACTGTTGGCATATACACCTGTTAAAGCAATCAACTTCTATAATGCAGGGTACAACAGAATTTAGAGATCTATATTTACATCTCAAATAGTGATAGCGGCTAGAAATTATTTCAAAAGATTTCCTGAAGTTCTTCTGATCAATATTGAATTATCTTAATATTTGATTAATGAGTATCTATTTAACCAAGCCAAATTCCCCGTTTTGCAAATTTGGCATTCACATTTTAATTCTTATCAAGAAAAATATTCATACGCATTAAAAGGTTAACGATTTCCGGATTCCAATCCCATTTTATAGCCAATCAGATTAAAACTGTCAGTTGTTATTTTGTTCCGATAATAAAAACCGGGCGAAACACCCCTTTCAAAATCGGACAACATATCTGTGTTAGAAATTCCCGACGAAATTAAGCATGAAATAATAAAGCTGTATTTCCCGTGTTTGCTGTTAAACCATCTGAACGGAAAATCGCTCATGTTTATAACGTCATTATATAGTTAATTCTATATCAGTAAGTGGATCCCGTCACCATTCAGCTGACCTATTGAACGAGAGTCATTTCATGAATAAATATCAGGTCTGTAATTCATCCTCTGTATTCCAGAGAACAAAGACACTATTCAGGTCCCGTTTCGCTTAGATGCAATAATTAATGTCAGTCTTTATAAATGGCGGTTTCCCATTAAAACATGAATAGATTTTTTTTTATCTCATTTGTACGCCCTTTGTAAGTACATGTACTGTGCATGCATATGGTGGTTTAAATCACACATTTTTTTTAGAAAGTTAGGAGTGTTTTTTTGGAAAGGACAGACTTTGATGTTTTTTACTGAAGGGAGGCAGTATAGTGGGGTTTAGCATCTGTGGGATGGACTTTAATCGGTTGCATTGCAGCGCCGTGGTATTAATCTAGAAACCGACTCCTCGCCATGTGACGTACAGCCCCTTAAAGTCATGTGGTTTAGAAAATTAACTTAGTTTTGCTTTGGAATCCGCAAATCTATTTCAGTCATTTGTAGAATTTAAAGGAATATCTCAGCAAGGAACCTTTACACATGTTTAAATGTTCCGTGTTTACCCTCAACCCATGCTGGCCATAGAGGGTGGCTTAATGGATGGAGTGGTCAGGCTCGGTGACTTGGTAGATGGCCTGTCACCGTACTCTCACGACGTGGCTCGTTGCTTTTAATATCACGGGTTTGTCTGGTCTTTTCCGGCTTTGATTATGTAATGACCGCCGTCATATTGATGAATGTGGCGTTAAACAAAGTAAAAGGCTACCAAACCTTGTGAACTATAAACCACGGACGATGAACTGCCGAGCCAAAAAAGTATACACTTGAAAATTGGATTTGACCAAAATATTTCAAACGTTATCAAAACGTTACTAGGCTGAAAACAGTCGACGAAACACTGCAAACTTTATGTCAATAGCACAACTATGTGAGGTGAAATGGGGTTTAACGTCGCGTCCAAGATTATTGCACTTATATAGCGACGTGTGTGTGTGGCTGCTTGTACTAGTCCGGACTGATGCCGATATTTATACCATGCTGCAGTTAAACTTGAATACCCCACTCAGACACAGTATACTGACTCCGAGACGACCAGTCCCTGTTTTAGCCCCTTAATGCCGAGCGCCAGACAGGGTAACAACAAGTACCATCTTTTAACGTCTTTTGGTATAACGCGGCTGGGGATCGAACCCGGACCTTCCGCTCTCCGGGCTGACGCTCTACAATTAGACCACGGAGGCGGTCCACAACTATAATACCCGTATCAATTACATCAACATCGAATAACCTTTTCCCGGCAGTTTATTTAGATCGAAAAATAAAAATGCAGCGGGGCCCCAAGGGACACTCTCTCGAGTTTGAGCAACTCGGGCGGTATAGTGGTCTAGTTGGCAGCGCCCTCGATTGTCGGGCAGAAGATATGGGTTCGAGTCTCGACATTTCTTTTCCCGATGTGGCATGACACAGCTGGGTAGCCTTATGGTTCAAGCGCTCCCTCGTCACGCCGAAATCACGATTTCGATTCCTCATATGGGTACAATGTATAAAACCCACTTGTGGTGTCCCCACCTCAATACTGTTTGAATAATGTTGAAATCGGCGTAAAACCCTTTTCACTCAATACGCTGTCAGGCTTCATTTTCATTTATTGTTTGTTTGTTATGTAACGCCGCACTCCGCAATATTCTAGTTATATGTAATTACATTTTATCATTACCTGTAAACAATAGTGACTGGACCAGATAATCCACTGATCGATGTTGTTAGAAACAAACGATGACACGCAATCCACCAAGTCACCGGGACTGACCACCCGATCCATTTGCTTTCTAATACGACCAGTATTTACTTTGTGTTTACCATGCATTTACCTTGTGTTTACCTTGACAATGTGTTTACCTTCTGTTAACTATGTGTTTACCTTCTGTTAACTTTGTGTTTACTTTAATTGACCTTGTATTTACTTTGTGTTTACCTTGTATTTACTTTGTGTTTACCATGCATTTTCCTTGTATTTACCTTGACAATGTGTTTACCTTCTGTTAACCACCTGTTTACCTTCTGTTATTTAATTGACCTTGTATTTACTTTGTGTTTACCTTGTGTTTACCTTGTGTTTACCTTGACAATGTGTTTACCTTGTGTTAACCAGAGATAGTGGAGAAGGTTAAAGCTGGCACTGATGAGTCTGGCATCTACTTCCGGCCCAATCTTTCCCGCCTTACGTGGGACTGTTACGTCATCGATGTCATCAAAGATTGCTGGGACGAGGATCCGGAAGAGCGACCTGACTTTAAGACGGTCAGAAAGATGCTCCGACCTATGCAGAAAGGAATGTGAGTTTGAGTTTGTTTTGTTTTTTGTTGTTGTGAAACGCCGCAGTCAGCAATAGGCTAGCTATAAGACTGGGTCCTGAAAATAATCTAGTCTTGATCAACCAATCCAGTGATTGACAACATGAGGAACGATCCACGCTGTCGGGGTACGATGACAGTCTGACCCCCCCCCCCCCCCCCCCCCCCCCCCCCCCCAAGAATTTATATTGTAATAAAACGGGTCTTACCTTTGCAAATCCTGCAGTCGATCGAAATCTACACGTTGAAATTCATGTTGTTTACGAATGTTGTCTAGTTCGTTACACGATTTTGATTAGACTATGCATAGTCTAGTTAGTCCAGCCTAAATGTAGCTCCGGAATCCCAGCCAAGTTCGGCAAGGATGGAAACTGGATGTTTATAGTCAGTAAACGCCCTTGCCGAGGGTAGATGATTTATGTTTTCCCCGCCGAGATATTTTGATATATTGTTCAAAGCGGCATTAGCCTCAGTCGTGATATTTCCAAACCAGTATTATCACCACGTCAATGATTATTGTACTTTCGAATTCACGAATATATCCCGATTAGTTCACTTAACAGTTGAACATGCACAGCACTTCATTCAATCTTAACCTAAAGTATGCAAGGATACCGTATGAGTTGCCTGCTTTAATCAGTCATTGGTGTTCATGTGGTCTAAGGAGCGCTATTGTGCAGAGTTGCCTCCCTTAGTGGTGACAGGATCCCCGTCCTATTTGTGGCCTTTGTTTGTCAGCATTGTGTCTATGCTCTGTGGTTTCACCAGACTGGTAAACGACCTGCGACACATTAGGCCGTCGTAGCTTTTAGCAGAACAGGTCACTGATATTTTTGTCATATCTCTAGTCAACTGAGTTATTCTGGTTGAATCAGGAAGTCCAACATCTTCGACAACATGATGATCATCATGGAGAGGTATGCCAACAACCTGGAAGCTGTCGTCGCAGAGAGGACGGTGGAGTTGGCGGAGGAGAAGAAGAAGACGGACCTTTTGCTGTACAGGATGTTGCCGAAGTGAGTTAGAGCGCGGGGATCGTGGATACTGGGGACGACGATATTTAGGAGTTGGGGAGATGGGTCATATTGGATTTGGGATGTAATGCGCTGGGGTGACTAGGAGCCTTGTTTGGACTCACTCACTCACTCACTCACTCACTCACTCTTTTTTTTCTTCTACCTCATTACCTGTTGTTTTCTTATTTGAAAATGTATCGCAATTCGAAGGAGACAACTAACGTGTGCCCAGTTAATTCAACTAAAGGATAAAATATTATATAATAATTATTTAAACATCCTCAACCCCGCATGGCGAGGTGATATAAATGTCACAACCCACAAGAACGTACAGGGACACATGTGTCTATATTGGGTTCATACTGGTGAGTCACTCACTCACACACCCACAAACTGAACATCATACAACCAGAACATTTACCATCCAATACAAGTCATTGTGAAGGCTATGGTGACACCAGATATACGATAAGTTAATGGTCAAGCTCGTCCTGTAGAAACCATCCGTCTTTGTTGAATGGTCTACACTGCGTGGACCTATTTTAACTCTCTCTGATGATGTTCCCCCCACAGGAGTGTAGCTGCCCAATTGGTCCGGGGACATCCTGTCATTCCTGAGGCCTTCGACCTCGTCACCATCTACTTCAGCGACATCTGCGGCTTCACAGCGTTGTCGGCGGAGAGCACACCTTTGCAGGTTAGTGGTTATTCCAGCATCCACTCGCTGTCACATGTTACATATTTGCCCCACCCCCCAACACTTGCTTGATAAAGGTGTTATGATCTACACCGAAACGTCGCACTAATTGTAATAAAGAAGTTGTTCATCCATAGAACTTGTCCTACTTCATCACACCAACTTCTAAATGCCACTTAAAGAAGTTGCTATAATGAAACCAACTCGTTTTGACTGTTCTAATGAAACCATCACGTTTTTATTGTGATATTTCTTTAGATACGAATACTTTAATTAATCGTGTTTTTTTATAGTTAATACAATATTAGCAAAAAACTATAGTAAGAAACTTCCGACAAATATATAACTTTAATACCACTTCACAAAGAAAGGGGAAACGGAACGGAACGCGGCGATCAATCATCTTCTCAATAACGGACTGTTTCCTCCCAAATGTCAGTACGCCTTCCTACTCTCAACATTTCTTTATTCTGTATTTCAAATAGCAAATATTTGAATTAATCCTACGTACAGCAATGATGACTGAAGGGGCGGTTCACATCCGCGCTCTTGTAATAATACGGAAATAATCATCGATTTTGGAAAATATCATATTCTTGGGAAAGATCTTAATGGCTAAAATTATGCACTATATCAAATGCGAAATGGGAATTTGTTTTTTAATACAAAAAAACTTGAAATTTCTGAGGTTTGCGTGACAATCCTGAGCTATGTCGGTGTGACCTTGTCTTTCCTTAATCCAGCTTCTTCCGAAAACTGACCACGAATGTGTATTTTACCCCATTAGTTTTGATTTCTTTCTCTGTGATTTGCATGAAACGTATAATGGTAAATTAAAACAAAATTACATTCACTTACGCCGTTTTATATGCAGGGTCGAATCAAATTTCATTGCAAGTCAGATTGTGGCTTCAAAATCAAATTTGTGATTTCCTTGCTTACTCATTTGATTATATACTTTGTTTTTTAAGCAGTAAATACGTGTATGATAGGTAATACATACGAATGACCAATCAAAAATATTACGCCCTGATCTCACATATAACACGTCTATACATGTCTAACCTATTAGATTATCCTATTAAAATGGAGGGGCGGTAGGGTAGCCTAGTGGTTAAAGCGTTCGCTCGTCACGCCGAAAACCCGGGTTCGATTCCCCACATGGGTGCAATGTGTGAAGCCCATTTCTGGTGTCCCTCGCCATGATATTGCTTGAGTATTGCTAAGAGCGGCGTAAAACTATACTCACTCACTCACTCACTCACCATTTACCATGTACCTTTATCTCACCTTACACATGAATGTTGGATTCTGATTGGCTGAAACCCATTCTATTATTTGCAATTTACCCAGCCCACATGTAAGGTTTCCGTAGTTTCTTATGTCCCCGCTCGGATTACCAAACTGTTGGAATTAAAAAACAACCGCATGTTTGTATCTCGAATTAATGACGAAAGACGCCATTCTCCGGATATTTAAGAACGGATAGTTCCGAATGAAATATACCAAGGGGGAATAACCCTGACACAAGACATAATCCCCATAAAGAGTTATCGTACTGATTAACCCGCCACATTTTCAATCGAGATGGCAACAAACGGAATGCGTGCGCACTCTGTCCAGTGAAAATGCGGCAGGTTTTAATCATTACGATGCAAACTTTATGGTGATTGTGTCTTGTTTATAATTTGTGTGTACATCTTCCATATTTTGGCTGCTTTCTGCTGGCTTTCTCTAGAAGCCATGTTCTGTCATACCTGAGTGTTTTTTGGCTCGAGCCTCGAAATAAGCCTAATGTCCGCTCTTCGATAATATCTCCGCTCCTCGATAAAGTGATATTATGTACCTTGTCAATACTGCGTATCTCGTCGATATTTTGTACCTTGTCTCTATTGTGTACCTTGTGCTGTCAACCATGCCATGACGCCGTGATATAGCTGGAATATTGCTGACTGTGGTGTAAACAGCCAGTCATTCACTGTTTAAATTTAATCCTGCTATGTGTCTGTGCCAGGTGGTCGACCTGCTGAACGACCTGTACACGTTGTTTGACTCCATCATCAAAAACTACGACGTGTACAAGGTGGAGACGATCGGGGACGCCTACATGGTGGTCAGCGGACTGCCCAATAGGAACGGGGACAACCACGCGGGGGAGATCGCCTCTATGTCCCTCCATCTGCTGACCGCCATCAAACAGTTCAAGATGAGGCACAAACCGGACCAGGTCCTCAAACTCAGGATAGGCCTTCATAGTGGTAGGTCCGTCTCTCAGTTCTCACACAGTTACAGGGGCCTTCATAGTGGTAGGTCCGTCTCTCAGTTCTCACACCGTTACAGGGGCCTTCATAGTGGTAGGTCCGTCTCCCAGTTCTCACACAGTTACAGGGGCCTTCATAGTGGTAGGTCCGTCTCTCAGTTCTCACACAGTTACAGGGGCCTTCATAGTGGTAGGTCCGTCTCTCAGTTCTCATACAGTTACAGGGGCCTTCATAGTGGTAGGTCCGTCTCTCAGTTCTCATACAGTTACAGGGGCCTTCATAGTGGTAGGTCCGTCTCTCAGTTCTCATACAGTTACTTGGGCCTTCATAGTGGTAGGTCCGTCTCTCAGTTCTCATACAGTTACAGGGGCCTTCATAGTGGTAGGTCCGTCTCTCAGTTCTCATACAGTTACAAGGGCCTTCATAGTGGTAGGTCCGTCTCTCAGTTCTCACACAGTTACAGGGGCCTTCATAGTGGTAGGTCCGTCTCTCAGTTCTCATACAGTTACAGGGGCCTTCATAGTGGTAGGTCCGTCTCTCAGTTCTCACACAGTTACAAGGGCCTTCATAGTGGTAGGTCCGTCTCTCAGTTCTCATACAGTTACAGGGGCCTTCATAGTGGTAGGTCCGTCTCTCAGTTCTCATACAGTTACAGGGGCCTTCATAGTGGTAGGTCCGTCTCTCTCACATAGTTACAGGGGCATTTGTCAGTTCGCACACTTTTCACACAGTGAAATACACCTTACCCCCGAGCGGTATATTACCCTCACACAATTCTTACATTGTTTTCGTATGTTTCTGAGGATACGTCTCAAATAGTTTTCACACAAATTTACTTCTCAAGCAGCTCTCACAGATCTCACGCCGACCTTGATAGAAGTAGCTAGTCACATGGTCGTTCCGCTTCTACATCTTATAGATGAGTGGTTATTTTTTACTTTCATTCATGTATGTAACGGATTCTCTCAACCACCAAACAAACTCATCAAGAAACCTAGATAATTCCACAGCCCTTACTCCAACCGAACTGCCCTCTAAACAGTCCGTGCGGGCCTCATTCTTTCCATCCCTACCCCCTCTCCCTCCCTCCGTCCTCGCTCACCCACCCCTTGTGTCACCCCCAGGTCCGTGTGTCGCCGGTGTCGTGGGGCTCACCATGCCTAGGTACTGCCTGTTCGGGGACACGGCTCACCCTCTTCCTCCATCCTCTCCCACCCCCTCTCCATTCCTCCGTCCTCACTCACCCACTCCTTGTGTCACCCCCAGGTCCGTGTGTCGCCGGTGTCGTGGGGCTCACCATGCCTAGGTACTGCCTGTTCGGGGACACGGCTCACCCTCTTCCTCCATCCTCTCCCACCCCCTCTCCATCCCTCCGTCCTCACTCACCCACTCCTTGTGTCACCCCCAGGTCCGTGTGTCGCCGGTGTCGTGGGGCTCACCATGCCTAGGTACTGTCTGTTTGGGGACACGGCTCAACCTCTTCCTCCATCCTCTCCCACCCCCTCTCCATCCCTCCGTCCTCACTCACCCACTCCTTGTGTCATCCCCAGGTCCGTGTGTCGCCGGTGTCGTGGGGCTCACCATGCCTAGGTACTGTCTGTTTGGGGACACGGCTCAACCTCTTCCTCCATCCTCTCCCACCCCCTCTCCATCCCTCCGTCCTCACTCACCCACTCCTTTTGTCACCCCCAGGTCCGTGTGTCGCCGGTGTCGTGGGGCTCACCATGCCTAGGTACTGCCTGTTCGGGGACACAGTCAACACCTCTTCCAGGATGGAGTCTAACGGAGAAGGTGAGTTTAATCTAATTTTCCCACAGGCATACATGCATTAGATCAACTCTATTTTAAACATATTACAGGCCACTCAGGAGTCAAGTCCCCCATAATATACTACATGTAGCAGTTGATTACATACGTTAACCTACTTAAATATAATCTCCGTATGTCTGCATGCACATGGTGCTTCGTTGTATGCCATGAGTCATGTCGTTGTTTGACGGGAAGACGGAGATGCTTCTATACATTTTAAAGAGGCCGTAACTATCGTACGGAATACCCCGTGTTAAAGTTTTCGAGGATGCATGAGTGAGTGAGTATGGTTTTACGCCGCTTTTAGAAATATTCCAGCAATATCTCGGCGGGGGACACCAGAAATGGGCTTCACACTTTGTTCTCATGTGGGGATTCGAACCCGGGTCTTCGGTGTGAAAAGCGAACGCTTTAACCACTAGGCCCCTGACAACCAAGGATCGCAAGAGAGCAGTGTAAAAGTTCAATGTGGGATAAAAACAACGTGGTACGGTGTACAAGGCGGAGATCGCAAACCGGGCTATCTCTGCGTTTATCACGTAACAGTGTTAAGTAACGTTCAAGGCGGAGAGTAGTTGGATGGGTGGCCATGTTCGGCAGCTTACTTGGACTTCATGGGCAGCTTGGGTAGTATGATCCTCGGGGAGCTGAGAATGAAAATGCACTGCACATTGATCCTTTGATCTGGGTAGTAATAGTTCCGCGTAGTTTGAGTATTCACTTGGTGAATGGAATCTTGCTCTCAATATTCTTTATTTTACAGTCCGACGTGATATGTTTGGATTATTACTGACTGTGGCGTTAATCAACATTCCCTCACTTTTTTACTCACCTTTTTACTCACTCACTCACACGCTGCTCTGTCTCAGCCCTGAGGGTCCACGTGAGTCCGACTACTAGGGCGCTATTGGACAAGCTGGGCGGGTACTACCTGGAGGAACGGGGACTTATCGCCATGAAGGTACGGTATCCTTGGCAACACTGAGTTAAATAGGGGTTGACCGAGTGTTTTTCGTGTTGTAAATATCACATCTCAGGAATTATGCATGGTTTTTTTATTCCTGATATATGAAAATTGCGAAGCGGAAAACACACGAGAGTTGTGATATCTTTATAGTACAATGTGTCATTCTTGATAAATATAAATAAATCTTGACCCTAAATTACATCAAAATCTATTGATTTGATCCCGCAGTATTCCTTAGGGACCGACCATTTGCAAGGGACTCAGGCCCTTCCCGTCGGGATATAAAGAGGATAAACCTATTATGTTTTGAAATTTGAGGTTGTTTAACCGTTAATTAGATACCTCGTATTTAATTTGGAACCGGGCGCTTTGGTGCGATGTCTCAAATGTAGAAATAAGAGGTATCAAATTTCAAAGCACGGTAGGTGTTAAACGTTTAATTATGGTACTCTCTTGGAACGCGTAATTACATATGGGTAATTAAGTCATCAATCTTAGAACATTCCGAAAAGGGGTCATAGGTAGTGCAAATCGTAATAATTATTACTTCAAGTTCAAGAATAATTACTTATACTATTGAAGGTTTTAAAATACAGAAGTGATCAAATATCACTCTATAGATTTAATGATTTCTATTGCAACATCCTGCACTTATTGCAGTTGCGTCCCTTGGGCACGCCAGAAACCTATGATTGTGGGTTCGAATCCCGGTTCGCCTCGATTATGTTTCTAGGTTTGTCAGCACCATACCCGTGCTCGTGGGTTTGACCGAAGTGGTAAACGTCTGAGACCTGCATCACTTTGGGTTTTCCTCACACATTAAGCTAACACACCGTGATATAACTGGAATACTGTTGAAAGCGGCGTTAAACCCAACTCACGCACTCAGTCAACGATGTCATGGTTTGAAAATCAACATGACATCCACCATAGTAGGGGTGACAGGTAACAGAAATAGTGACAAAAAATTATAACCTGACATATTTTTCAACAAATTTTATTATGAAATAAGATTTAGTTATTTTGACATGGTACTTATGTCCCAGTTGGGTTAAAATGACCAGCAGTAATACATTTTTGAATGATTATCTCTCAGTCTCGAACTTCGATGCGTGAACTTGAATGCCAGTATAGTTTTTCACGGTGACTGCATAAACCCAGAAGACAGTCGTGATCTGTAATTATGTTTAACATTAACCTGATGATTAACTGTTAGAAGTGAGTCTGCTGTCACAACCTCAAATCTAACCACACTGAATGCTACTGTTTTCTACCTGAAGATAAGCCGAAACATGAGCGACTGCTAACTTTTTTGAGTGAGTGAGTTGGATTTAACGCCGCTTTTAACAGTATTCAAATTATATCACGGCGTGTCAGCTTTATGTGGGAGGAATTGAAGTGATGCAGGTCTCAGACGTTTACCACTTTGGTGAAATCCATCTTACGGCCTGTACGACTGATTCCGTCAAAATTATCATCTATCTCTCGCTTCCCGGAATAAACATTTGAACGGAGGAAGCGTTGCACCGTACGTGGGAAGCACTGCCGTACAATCGCAACCATATATTAGGCATTCCGGAAATTTCGTTTGTTCAGTTTTCAAAATTTTAATCGAAAACTGTTTCAACATATTTTTCAAGCATAGTCTGAAATGGAAGTCACCAGGTTGAAACGATTGCCGTAAAGCTCGAGAAAGCTGCTTTCTAATTTGTTGAAGTCGACATCTTGTTAGTCGTTTCAGTGGGTTGTCAAAGTTCGCGAAAGGTCGTTCTGACATGAACTTCGATCTGATTTTCATGAGATTGGTCTTGATTTTTATCACTTTGATGAAACCCACAAGCACGGGTATGGTGCTGACAAACTTAGAAACATAATCGGGGCAAACTGGGATGCTAACTTTTGCGACGCAGTGTATTGTTAACTGATGTTTCACTAAGTCGTTTGTGTTCTGAATAGATTTCATCATATTTGATAAGCTGTTGTAACGAAGAGCTTGCGTGCAGTGTACCAGTGAATGACAAAAGCATCTGATAATGTTCTTTTCTCGAAAACATACAGGTCTAATTGGTTATCGGCAACCATTGTTTTATACGACGTAATGTAAGTTATCGATAGATCGATGTATTAACACCCAAGTCCTTGACTTGACACCTGATTTCAATGTAGAATGAATATTACAATATCGGTTCTTAAGTAGCCCATCTTGACACACCAAAGCGGCAATTAAATTTACGATGTTTCGTGTTAATGTGAGGTGTCCACACTCGCCTGGTTCTGTTTACAGGGTAAAGGCGAGATAAGAACGCATTGGCTGCTAGGCGAAGACAAGAAGGTTCGCGAAAAGCGAACCCGGAACTCAGATGACAGCGGTGTTCACCTAGATGCCCCAGACACCTCCGACACCCAAGACACCCCTCAGCCGCCCGAGAGCATCGCCGCCTTCAACACCAAGTCTTTCAACCCCTGTCTCAGGCCGTCTCTCATATTCGAGAAGAAGAAACCCCAATTCCAACCCCGCACTGACCTCCCAGGACAGGTCGACGGGAGTTCAAGGAGCGAGCCCCTGCCGAAAGCCGAGGCGAGCACTTCCGGTCGCAGTCATCTAATCACTGTCTCAGAATATCAACCAAATTTCGACCAAGCTGAAATCAAACCTGTGAACAGGCTTCTACCAATTTTGAGGACGAATGGTTCTAATTCATCTAAGGAGTCTGGTAGTCTCAAACCAAGTGGTTCCAACAATTCCAGGGTGTCCTACCTCCTGAAAACAAACGGTTCTTCCCATTCGTCACGCGGTACTTCGTCAGCAGACATCGGGAGTTCAGACCGGAAGTGCACCGCGGTACCTCTGGTTCAGATCGACATGGGGAGATTTAAAGAGGAGGGGTCCATGGATTCAAGCACGACAGGGGACACGAACTCGTCCGGATCCAGACAGCCGAATACAGTTAAATTTTCTGATGATGACATTCTTTGATAACATTTCATTTTAATGTTCTGTATTTAAGGATACTCGTGTGTGCAGGACACTTTTAGCAGATCAGGTCCGTTATGTGAATGCATGACACGTTTTATTAATAGCAACATCTTTTATTCTTTGTCATGTTCCAGAGCTGCTTCCTCCTCCTTCACCTTATCATTCACCTGATGAAGGAGCAAGAACTAACATCATGACAAAGAATAAAAAAGATGCTACCCATAGAAAGTGCCATGTATTCATGTTCTTCCAACTAAATGCCTAACAAAGACTTGAGTCTGTTATGGTCTGATAAACACGTAAACTTCATTCCATGTTAAGGATGTTCTAGGATTGTATGGATTTTCTACATGTTGAATTGCAACATGGCGTTAACCTGAGAATGTCACTGTAGGTGTATTCGATGCGTTACATTTGATTTGTGGCTACAGCATGACTAGAACAGATGAGCTGACGTTACACTGTGTGTGTTACTTTGATGGTATGACGTTACACTGTGTGTGTTACGTTGATGGTATGACGTTACACTTTGTGTGTTACGTTGATTGTATGACGTTACACTGTGTGTCACGTTGATGATATGACTTTACACTCTGTGTGTTACGTTGATGGTATGACGTTACACTGTGTGTCACGTTGATGATATGACTTTACACTGTGTGTGTTACGTTGATGTTATGACGCTACACTGTGTGTTACGATGATGGTATGACGTTACACTGTGTGTTACGTTGATGATATGACGTTACACTGTGTCTGTTACGTTGATGATATGACGTTACACTGTGTCTATTAGGTTGTGATATGACGTTACACTGTGTTACGTTGGTGATATGACGTTACACTGTGTCTCTTTCGTTGATGATATGACGTTACACTGTAAGTTACGTTGATGATAGGACGTTACACTGTGTGTTACGTTGATGATATGACGTGGCACTGTGTTACGTTGGTTGATATGACGTTACACTGCCAGTTACGTTGATGATATGACGTTACACTGTGTTACGTTGATGATATGACGTTACAATGTGTCAGTTACGTTGATGATATGACGTTACATTGTGCTACGTTGATGATGTAACGTTACACTTTGTCTGTTACGTTGATGTTATGACGTTACACTGTGTCTGTTACGTTGATGATATGACGTTACACTGTGTCAGTTACGTTGATGATATGACGTTACACTGTGTCAGTTACGTTGATGATATGATGTTACATTGTGCTACGTTGATGTAACGTTACACTGTGTCAGTTACGTTGATGGTATGACGTTACACTGTGTCAGTTACGTTGATGATATGACGTTACATTGTGCTACGTTGATGATGTAACGTTACACTGTGCCTGTTACGTTGATGGTATGACGTTTTCCACTGTGTCTGTTACGTTGATGATATGACGCTACACCTGAACTGAGGTGAATTTGCAATGGATGAACTGAGGTCATGCTGCAACTGTCAAGGAAGAACTGATATCATAATGTATTTATTGTTACGGAAGATCTGAGATTATACCACAGTAACTGTATTTGTTACGGATGCACTATTTTTGTAGCGGATACACTGTAGCCCCTCTGCACGGCAGTTGTACCACGGGGCGGCGTCAGGCACCAAACTAACGCTTACATTTCAATACAATTGTGTGAGTTATGGCTGATGTCGGTAAGACAGGACAGACTTGCCCTACTCGCGAACACCAGGTGTCATCAATGGTGCATTCATAATTCATTATTTTCACCGCTATTTTTCCTTGTTTCGGCGGATAATCGAGACTGAGATGGTTATTCTCTGCGGTGACGTTTTATATTTACGAATATTCTGAAGTTACGTTTTACGGTAAGGGTGTAATATATCGATAAAGAATGCATTGTGGTTATATGGTGTTTGTTGCGGATAAACTGAGATGTATTTGTTGCGGATAAACTAAGACATATGTGTTACGGAGAAACTAAGATATAGATGTGGTACGGATGAACTGAAACATATATGTGTTACGGATAAACTGAGATGTAGATGCGTTGCGGATAATCAAAGACATATATGCTACGGATAAACCGAGACATGTATGTGTTGCGGATAAACGGAGATATATATGTGTTACGGAAAAAACTGATATATTTATGTGTTATGGACAAACTGAGATATTTAAGTGTTACGGATAAACTGAGACATATGTGTTATGGACAAACTGAGATATTTAAGTGTTACGGATAAACTGAGATATTTATGTTACGAATAAACTGAAATGTTGATGTGTTAAGGTACGATTGTTGATTAACAAATTGAGTTAACGTTACGATTGTTACGGATAAACTAAGTTCATGTTACGTTGTGATTGTTGTCATAAATAAACTGACATAACGTTACACAACGATTGTTACGGATAGAATAGGCTGATGTTACGATACGATAGTTACGGATACATTGAAGTGGCATTGCTCGTCCTCCAACTTATAAATCAGTTAGGAGTGACCATTGACTTAAGAGAAATTTCGCAATAAAGTAAATTTGATATAGTTATCTGCATACCATACCGCAAAACGATAACAAATGTCCGTTCGACCGAACTCCTAAACTGCATCATCACAGCTGGGAAACGAGGTAGATTACCACTAATGGTTCCGGTGGCGGCAACAAAATGGAAGAGGCTTGACAACGTACAATAGGTTCACAGACCTCGCATACGCTGTATTGTGCTATATGGGGGGTTCCTGTATCGCCAAGCACAATACTCCAGATGAATCAGAACATTAGGATAGAACCCAGGAACAAAACGTCGACTTGGGCGTCGATCAATACCCGAGTTTTCTATCCCACGGGCAGAAACTGAGCAGTAATGGTGAAAATATGCAGAACGTTCCCATTAACTCGCCTCGCGGGTATTAACGTCACCGAACCTGATTCACACATTATATTCTGTGGAATGTATGCCACATTGATATATTTAAGTTGCAGGGGTTTTTATGAAACGCAAAAAACAAGTCTTTGATTATAATGAGATAACAATCTCATGCGCTGCTAATGGGCTACAGAGGAGGAAATTTTCACATCCATTTAGTTTTGAACAGGAAGCAGGAAACACGTTGATAATATTATCTCATTCCGTCAGAAGCACGCTCAAACTGTCTGTTCGTTAATTAAGGGAAATTAATGTTAATTTTTATCTATTCTGCGACTTTGTTTTCTTATGCATATGATACTCACATGAACAACAAAGCAAAGTCTACCCAGTATGTATGAGTTGATATAACTATCAACGCGCGAACCAGACCTGTCTTATATAATAAAGAAGACACGTATATCTGGTGTACACTGAGTTTCACAATATTCCGCCCCTCTTGATGGTTGAGCGATGACGTTAAGCAAGACGCCACTCATGAAAACGTAGCAGAATAATGAAGCCGCATCCTTCAAGAAGACTTTGCCAATGAGAACTGCGAAAAGGAACCGTTATCTGGTAGGAACTGTCGATTCACCGGAATTCACTGTCCATTATTTGTGTGGGATATCCTCCTGTCTATTGTCCGTGGTTGATGAGAACCGTAAGAGTGGTTGAACCAAAGTGATAAGTGTCCGACTTGAGTCTCATCGGCCTTTGTCTCCCGCATTAAGCGGAGAGGAAATAATGTTCAAAGCGGCGTTAGTCCCCCAAACAACTTTGTTTGTTTGTTTAACGCCACACTCAACAATATTCCAGCTATATGACGGCGGTCTGTATATAACCGAGTCTGGACCAGACAATCCAGTGATTGATATCATGAGCATCGATATACGCAATTTCCTCTTACGGAAAACAACTTTGAAGTAAGTGGAAGTGTGTATATATATATTTTATTATGTACCGCTATTTTGTTTAATCGAATAATTTACAAATTAAAAAAACAATGTTTGTAAGGAATTAAGACAGAAGCAGTGATGTATCATGAAAAACGGGTATCTTGAGACATAGACATATAAACAGCGAGCTTTCCTAATGCGCCATTTCGTTGCGATATCAACATAGGCTATTTTATGTGAAACCTTGTTAACTCGAAGTCACTGTCATACCGAATATCAATCGAATAATCCTAACTATAAGAGAAAATGGATTTCGAGTTTCCACTGTGTCTCAAGAGTTTGGGATATAGGGGAATCTATCACATGGTCATATGAGTTTGTCTGCAGGATTAGTGTGGATTATGTTAAGACACTGACTGGACATAATCCGTTACCGCCAATGTAGAGGTAACTGATATCAATACTGTCACACTATCGACCACTGGTTTGCCGTTACGTCACAGGTTGCCGTGATACATGTTTGTTCTTTGACGAAGTACTCACTCACTGTAGGTGCTATAAACGTGAGAGGGTGAATATTGCATCAGAAATATCAGACGAATAACAAACACATGCAAGAAAATTATTTAATCTCAAAATATTTCAAATATCAACATCATAATAGATTTAAATGCGAACAGCTGAAACATTGCAATACTTGTTGTGAACACACAGGTATTTATGACTAAACACATCACCAGAATACATCATTCTCTGTAACTTGGCGTTTAACGTGCGCAGTAGGGGATAACATCGCAAGAACGCAGCATTCTGTTTGTCGACATTCAACATGTGCAATTATGAATTACATCTTCCTAAACACATCGCCAAAACTCATCATTCTGACAGTCGGTGTCCAATGTGGGTAATGATTATTAACAACTTTAACATATCGCATAAACATACCATTCTCTATCATTCTCGGGCAATAATTATGAACACTGTGAACATATCGCCAAAACACATCACCTGGTTTGCGGCGTCAACACCCGGAAGTACCACACATATATTGAAGACATCGTCAGAACACACCATCCTGTCTGACCGCGTCTAACATCAAACATGTCTCACATCGACAACACAGATCCAGAACAAATCACCTATAAGTTTGCATTGCATAAAGATATCATGACTACAATCCAGAACACATCGCCAAAACGCACTACCGTCTTTTGGCGCTGCAGTACCATTCAATCCAGAAACGTGTTCCGTGAATCATGACCTGAAATCCCTTCTTCGTCAGACTTGTCCGATTTGTAGTTTATACAATACCACGTGTAATCGAAGAGACTCGTAACATGCAAAAAAAACTTCAGTGGCCATCTTGACCTCGCATGGAATTTGCGTTTTCACTGGTGGGATTATGGGATATTTATTAGCAAAGTGTTCCAAGCTTGCTTCGATTGTCTTTGGGTTAGTTGTTATTGCACGGGTCTGTAGGCATTCCATACACACATGCAGTGTTCATGTGTACGTGGCATAATAAAGAGGTAGTGAAGACAATCAAAGTTGTTATAATGAGAAGAAATATATAAAAATCAATCTCGTGATTCGCTTTAAGCAGACAGGGTGAACACTATTGTGACAATGCGTTCAGAGGGTCAAGAAGTATGTACACATCCTAGAGAACATCAATAACAGACCTTGGTAAAAGGGAGTACATTTATCTTCGAGAAAACCGAAGTTTTGAGATAAAGGGAGTGGCTAACATTAAAATCCCTAGGTACAACATAACAAGAGTAGAGGGTACCTTCAAATGCTTAAGAACCTCAAGTACACTACTGTCCATAAGTTCATTCCCCTTACGCGTATGGACCTCGTGTAAGGGGAATGATCCTCTGGGCAGCAGTGTATATAATACCTTCAATAAGTCAATAACTTGTCCTCCTCATAACGTCATTATTAATATCCTCTTAAAGAAGTATGTACTGCACAGTGGATTAATGAACACAAACGGTTGAAGTGTACTGATCACGTTCGACTGTTGCTCCTTGAATATATAATGGGGCCCATGGAATGACCGCTGCTGACCGACATGTCATCACAGCTCAATGATGACCGTCCGAGGCGAGTGTCCGTTCGTCCGCCATTCTGATAAACAACGGTCATCTCCCGTGCGTCCGGCGCGGACAGAAGATGAAGGGTCTCACCGGGTTCCTCGAGTGAACTATCCGGATCGACAGGGGCGCTGTTCACTTCCTGTGTCACCGGAAGTCGGTCGCCCTGACACGAGTTCCTGTGTGTGGGGTTGGCGTTTGGGGTGAGATAGCTGTTCCTGTAAACGCTCTGGTCTGAGAATGGCTTCTCCCCATAGTCTAAGTTACCAACTGACACACAGCGTCCATCTCTTCCCATGGCTTCTTCGGAAATCCGTCGTATTCGATGGGCTGTATCTTCGCCGGTCAGGAAGTACGTCTTCTGCTCCCCTTTACCCTGAAACAGAAGAGTGGGCTGGTATGGTTTAACGCCGCTTTAAGTAATAGTCCAACAATATCACTGTGGGGAACACCATTACTTATTGAATCTGGAATTAGTCTTCAGTAACCTATGCTTGCCGTAAAAGGTTAGGTGAGGTGAAATTGGGTTTAACGTCGCTTCCAAGATTATTGCACTCATATAGCGACGTGCATGCACGTGTATGTGTGTGTGTGGCTGCTTGTACTAGTCTGGACTGATGCCGATTCATAGTGCTAGCTCACTGAGATACCATACCGCAGTTTAACATGAATACCCCACTCAGACACAGTATACTGACTCCGAGCCGACCAGTCCTTGTTTTAGCCCCTTAATGCCAAGCGCCAGACAGGGTAACAACAAGTACAATCTTTTAACGTCTTTTTGTATGACGCGGCCGGGGATCAAACCCCGAACCTTCCGCTCTCCTGGCGGACGCTGTACCACAAGACCACGGAGGCGGTCGCTTGCCGTGAAAGGTGACAATGCTTGTCGTAAGAGGCGACTAACGGAAATCAGGTGGTCAGGCTCGCTGACTTGGTTGATGCATGTCATCGTATTCCAATTGCTTAGATCGATGCTCGTGATCTCAATTGCTGGATTATCTGCTCCAGACTCGATTATTTACAGACCGCTGTCATAGAGCTGAAATATTGCTGAGTGCGGCGTGAAACAACGAACGCAAAACTATTTTGTAACCATGTGGAGATTGACCCGGGGAAATTGGCGTGGCGATCGAACGCTTTAACCCCTAGACTATCGATAACATAACGTCAGAACAATAATCTGCCTTCTGCGTAGGGTTGACATTTCACTCACTCATAGTTTCTTCATTTTCTCTCCTGCCAAAATGCCAGTGGGTAATATACCACTCAACATTTGCTAAGGGCCACGCCTAACTAAAATGACTATTTTGATCCTGAACCAATGGTGTATAGTATATACAGACTAACCTAATACTGTTAATACTTCGACCATAACAAAGGATCTACGAGGAATGACGGATCATCTGTCCCTCGCGAATGAATATTGTAGGTCCCTCGGGATCAATACCACTCATTCACTCGGGACAGATAATCCGTCATTCCTCTTAGCTCCTTGCACTCGAAGTATAATCAGGCGTGTTAAGACTGTCCGTTCAACTGAGCACAGGATCCCTTGCTTGTAGGAGTAGTGTGAGAAAAGTTTTACGCCGCTTTTATCAATATTTCAGTATTTCACGGCGAGTAAGTTTAATACGGATGAAAGCCCAAAGTCATAAATATCTTGAACGTGTATCACTCCAATGAAGCCACGAGTACAGGTATGGTGCTGTAAACCTGATTCCTCATCAGGGCAAATCTGAGATTCGAACCCACGATCATATGTTACAGCACGTGTAAGGGACGCAACTCTGCACAGCAAATTGCGACGCCTTATATTACTGGGCCACCCGTGCCACGGCCTTGTGTCTGGAAAAATACCTTCATGCTGACTATGCCCCTCTCCTGCAGACAGTACCCTCCGAGATGGTCCAACTTGTCCTTGCACTGATGGCTACAGTGAATCTTCATTGCTAGCAAGGGATAACATTATTAAGGTTAATAATATACAACTGATAGCGCCAATACACCTTTTCAAACCGAACATTTCCGAGAGATACCGGAGAATACCGACCTTAACATACTACGAGGGGTGGATGGGGATATTTTGGCAAACCAATAATGTGACATTTATATTGGTTAAGGTTCACGATAAAGATTTAGATCGGTAATTCCCGGTCGAACTCGATAATCGTCAGCATTTGAAGACATTTATAGTTTTACAAAAAAGCTTTATTCTTTACGTGTGACCTCATTGTGCCTTGTATTAGTGTCACTGTTGATTTCTCTTTAAAGTGAGAAGGACGGTAGGTCTTTTTGTATTTTTATTGAAAACAAGTCATGAGGGAGGAACACTTCTTTTTTTACAGAGAATTACTAACATTAACCGCAGATTTAACTCGGTCCTTTAATACAATGTTAGTTGACAAAGATGTATAAGTCTGCTTCATATGACGCGGAAATTTAAAAATATTTTATTGGTAAAATAACTGACTGAGGTTTAAGATTTCATGTGACGCGCAGAGAAACATTTTCCTTTTTAGCCAAACAAGACAGTGAACATTCTTTAACATAATGAAATTAGGATACAATGTATTAATTATTAGACTTCGCCCAAACTTTCAAATGTGAGGCAGACGGAGTTATATTTTTGTAAACAAACTGTTCACTACATTAACTGTCGCCAGATGTGATTCAGATGGAGACAGCTGGACTATATCAAGTACAGAAAGAAGGGGGCATGTCTTGTTACTTCTTCATCTGTAGTACAAGGAAATAAATGTAATAATTAACTTATCAGGGCCTGACAGAGAATATTTGGGTGAGTTTGGTTGAACACTGCTTTGAGTATATAACATAGGGTACTAGCTGAGGAAATGTGCAAATCCTCTCCAACAACCTCCATGACTTCGCTAAAAGAAAGCTAACAGAAGTAGTCCACATTCGCCTCCACAAGCCATCAATCAGCAGAGATCAAGGCTGTTTCATCCCATCCGCTTACTATGAACTCAATAATCACTCCACCTATGTATACTTAATCCTGATCAACTGGCTTCCTCGTCATGTGTTAGGATAGGATAGGATAAGTTTTATTCCATACTGAAAGGCCTCGGGCCCATAGTACAATTCTGTTTTCGGGAGTGGTTACAAATCCGTTTAACAGGTCAAATTCTAATTAACATAGCATGATAAATGAACATTGATAGATTTTTTAGAGTATCTTTATCAGTTGTTGACATGATCGTTGTAAATGTCTGTAGAGTGGGATGTACATAACAAGGTAGATCAATATATTATCTTCTAAGGTGGTCGTATTTTGGTCAAACTAACAGAAAATGAAACTCATCTTCAATCACATTTAAATCACATTGCTCACATATTTTCAATTCTCTGGCTATGTTTCTATGCCTGCCTACTTCGATCCTAAGTCCATGAGAGCTGCATCTAAATTGTGCTAAACTTATCCTAAACCTTTTAAAGTTGATGTCAAACAAATAGTATTCTGGGGAAATTGTTGTCTTGAAAAGCTTGTAATAATTGCATTTTTCTGAACTTAAACCATGCGATGCCCATTTTTGCAAGTATATATCCTTAAGTCTCACTCCACCTATGTATACTTTATCCTGATCAATTGGCTTCCTCATCATGTGTTCTCCGTCCATCATGTTGTTACAGCACTACCCTTATGTTGTCATTGTCAAACGTACCCGTGTTAATCTCCCTTTTTAACAATTGTTGTTACTGTTAATCCTCCACCTTCTATACATATTCTGTTCCATGGTCATTGTTCAGCCTTGCAAGACAACGGTATAAGGATCTATGCCGAAACGTCGCCATTACAGTAAAATAAGAAGCTGTTATCCATAAATTATGTCTACTTTGTAACAGTATTTATTGAAGTATACCCCCAACATGTAATCAGCTGTTCGCTGATCAAGTCAGTGATATGTTATAGAGGAATATTTAAAATCTCATCACAAAGTAAACACAAAATGTCAACACCAGAGAACAAACAGTCTGACCCATCCGCCGACTGACTCTCTAACAACGTTAAGGAAAGTGTTGGCAGACTCATCAATGACCAATGACTGACCACACGTCGGTGTCTGTAATGGTCGGCCTGATGGTGGCGGTGTGCTCAAGTGCCGGTCACGAAGGCTTTTAAGGAACACCTAGCGCTATTTGTTTAGGCTTACCTTCGCCAGTACTCTCCATCCTTGATGCTGTGTTGACTGTATCCCCGAACAGACAGTACCGTGGCATCTTCAGCCCCACCACGCCGGCACAACACGACCCTGGGGATATAGACGGTAATAATGAAACAACGACACCGCAGAGACGAGCGCAGGTGCAGATCGCTTTTAGTGGTCTTCCAGCTGTTACACCAGATGTGGGCCTCACACATTGTACCCATGTGGGAATTGAACCCGGGCCTCAGGCGTTACCAGTGAACGGTTCAAACCCAAGCCTACCACATCGCACGGTTTACGCTGAAATACATGACATTTAGAATGTTGTCTAATATGGAGAAACCTCGTTATCTCGAGGTGGGGACTGTTGCAATCACTTCGAGTTATCCTATTTCGAGTGTATCAATATAATATTTTTAAAACGTCAACGCCAGAGAAAAAACAGTCTCGAATATCCACCGACACAGATTCCACAGTGCTTAAAGGCAAAGTAGTGATGTGAATTATATAAATAGGTCACTGAAAATCATTGATGACACCAGGTGTTCGCTAAAAAGATAAGCATGTCCTGCTCTAGTATAAGCACCCGCCACACACCAAATTTCTATTTGAAAAAAGTAAGTGCTAGTGAGAAAGGTGTGGAAACGCCATGTAAAGGTTCTCATTCTTTTTGACACTCTTCATGTGACAGACCAAGTGTTATATCAATATGTATTCATGGATTCCAACTATAGAAACTAAATGTAAACTCCTCAGTTAAAACGTATTCAGAAGATTTGACACTGGGTTGTCTTACTTCTCTTTCATGCATTCAAAAGGCTTAATCATTAAAGTGTCACGACACGTGTCATTGAAAAAAACGAAGAAAAACATTATTCAAAAACTCGTAACTGACATTTAAGTCTGTTTATTGCTAACGATTTATCAAAAAACACCACGGCGACAATTTTTCAAGAAATAAAATGACAACACTGAAAGGCGAGATTTCCTTTTATCGAATCAAAGAAACGTTCTCTTCCATAAATGGCGTCACGCTATGTCTAAATGGGAAGGTCTCACGGAAAGATTAACGAGTTTATTATATTAGCTCTGTTTAAATTTGGTGACGACAGGATGAAGTTTTCAGCTCGTGGGAGTTAGCTATCAGAAGAGAGAAACTGATCGTTTCATGTGACAGAACCACATCCATCAGAAAAACAACAACAACAGTTTTTTACCCGAGTGAAGACCAATACGAATTCTGATGGAAGCTTCTGGCATGTGATTGATCCGGAAGGACTTGATTCGGCTGAGCAGGTGAAGTGAAAGCGAGGCTACTTCCCCTGCGTGTCTGTCCTCGTTTCTGATTGGTAGACCGCTGACCACCATATATGCGTCGCCGATTGTCTCTACCTTATAGACATCGTAGTGCTCGATGACGGAGTCGAAGACGATGTAGAGGTCGTTTAGGAGGTGCACCACCTGTGTATTGAATGATTAATATCTGAGAGACAGTTATTATTATTAACTAATGAAGATGTGAAGAGTGTCGCCACGATGACGATTCTAGGTTTCTCAACAGCATACTCGTTCTGAGGGTTTTACTAAGTTGAAGGTCTATCATCTGCTTGAATTGGAACTTTTTAAATGAAACTGGGCCGGAGAGCGGAAGTTCCGGGGTTTGATCCCCGGCCGCGTCATACCAAAAGGTATAAATACAGTACTTGTTGTTACCCTGTCTGGCGCTCGGCATTAAGGGGCTAAAACAAGTACTGGTCGGCTCGGAGTCAGTATACTGCGTCCTAGTGGGGTATATATTAAACCTCGGCATGGTATCTCAGTGGGCTAGCGCTATGAAATCGGAATAAGTCAGGACTAATAAAGGCAACCACACACACGTCGCTATATAAGTGCAATAAGTTTGGACACAATGTTACACTGATCGAAAAGTGGCGCTGAAACTCGCTCACCTCTTACCAATATTTGCGACTGTCAGACCAGGCGAGATTTTATTGGAAATAAGTTTTGTGTACATATTCACAACTATCACTCATACTTTTTTAAACAATATTTATTTCCACTTGGTACAGTGAAAGGGGATTGATAAACAGGCAGGGCCTATATAAATATTTCTCCCCGACAAAATTCGAACAAGCAGCAGTAGTATAATTCTAAAGTAGTATAGACTTGGTATTAAGTCATATATGGTACATCAAGGGTAAACAGTTGTTTGTGAGATTTATATAAGAGTGCATGCTTAGACAAATCTTTTGCTCATAGAGAAGAAATGATGTACAGAGTCAACGATATTCAGCAGTATTTCTTCGTCTAGGCTGACGTTACCAAACAGGACGGTTCGTAGGTCATATCCATTAACATAATAATAATTACTCATATTTATCACTGCACATATGTTATAGTCTTATTTCATCAAATAACGGGAATATTGAGACAACCAAACCATGTTAATTCGAAAACCTCGTCTATCGGACAATTAATGATAATTATAAACGGGACATTATTTAGTGTCAGTGGTTTGTTAATCCGGAATTTCGTTAATCTGGACAATGTCACGGTATTCAGTAAATGCAAATTAAACTGATTTTTCTGTACAGCACATTGTATAGCATAAAAATATACGATACATTTTAATGTTATCATAAATATTTGAGAATTGCTTAGACATGTTTATATATTCAGTTTGTAGCATGTCATATAATTAAGACGACTTTTATGCGTATTTCATTTTGAAATAAATATGAAATATTACATTTATCCAATATCAGTTCCATAAACACATTTCAGTTTTCAAGTATAGTTCCATTTCATTTAAAACACGAACCTTGGTTAAGGTTTGGTTATTTGTTAAAATGTACAAGAGAGTTAGAATATACATTTTATGAACTACCAATCTCTTTGACCGACCAATAGAATGACCAATCAGAAGGCAGCTTTTTCGTGCGTTACGGCACTAATTTCATATTGGCGACTACGCTTTGAAACATATTTTGACAAATTCTTGATTACAAATTTGAAACCTGAACAAAAGAACATTCTAGAATGGCTGATAGATGGTCTAGATTGTATGGATTCAGTCGTTAAACCCGTAACTATCGTTCGGAATACCCCGTGTTAAAGTTTTCAAGGATGCATGATTAGAAATCACATTCCGACTGTCACTTTCATAATCTGGTAATCGACGCTCTGATTGGTCGGATGATAGGTCGTTCTGACGTGACCCCCAATGGGATGTCATCAGATCTTTGTTTAGCGATAGCGAGAACTAAGGTCTGAATTTAATGAGATTGATGAACTACGTACTTACACAAATCGCGGTGCCTACTTTCAGGCAGGGTCAGGACGAAGGACTCAAATGAAATCATGCTAAAACAGTAACTAGGACTTCACATGATAATCTCGCATGAAATGTACACCCGGTTTCAATCACAGTTAGTAGTCTTGGAAACATTATTTGGCTTCGATTGCATGAAAATAAATTGTACATTCCCCCCTTACGTTGAACGGAGGAAAATAACCGAAACATACACCACTACCAATAAACCATTCATACAGAATGGCTTCTTACTAATGACTTATACGATTGGTCCGATCATGTAACATTCTCAGGGGTTGTTGGTGTGGGGGGAGAGGATTGTTTGAGACCATTTAATTTTAAGCCAGGGCTTTATTTCTCTGAAAGATCGAGGGAGCAAAACCGGTTTCATATTCACAACACCCAGGATGTAACGGGAACAACTCTTTCAGCATACATTTGTAATTGAAAACACGGTGCTTGGATGCACGGGCGAGGGATGGGCGGTTCGTGATGGATATAGGACGCCAAGGCTGTTTTAGACACACAAAAATGTATTTCTGTTGGTCAAGCACATGGTTAACACTCCTGGCTAGAGGCTGCCATTTTGGTACATATGGAAATTGGAAAATGGTAAAGGAAACGAAATCAAATATAACAAAAGTGGAATTAAACAACGAAACGAAATAATAGACATTTGGGCTCAAAAGGCTTTCTGACCGTAATGAATATGTAAAAAGTTTGTTTTTTTATATAATTAATTATTTTTGAAAACTTGAAAATACATTTTTCTCATATTTCGGGAAAAACTGATCTTTGGTCAACCACAGCCTTGCACAATCCCCAATATAAACAACAACAACCAAAAACGGTTGGCCTCATCATACACCAACCACCAATATACCATCAATAAAGAATGGCTTCATACAAAGGACTTATACTCAACCCAACGAACTGTACACCATTAGCATAGAATGGCTTCATACAGATGAGGTTCTTAGCCACCTAAACCCTGGCGGGTTGTTTTTATTTCTTGCCTCAGCCATCGACACAAAACATCGTGAAACAATTAGTTGATGACTCTGGGCAGGTATTGTTTTCAGGCAAAGGTTGTGCTATACCTGAATCGGAGTGCTTTGAGCCGCGATCGAAGTGAAGCCGACTATGTCACTGAAGTAGATTGATACACACTCGTACTGCTCAGGGATGACTGGTTTGTTCTGCTTGAGACTATCCGCTACAGACCTGGAACACAATGAAGAATCGATTGCGTACTAAGACGGAAACAAGTCGCAGCCCTCTTTTCAGCTGTTACAAGGGGATTAGGATAAGTCCTCCTGGGATTCCCTTTGATTGCCGATGTTCTTATGTTTAACCAATTAGTGTCGGAACCTTGCTTTGCATGTGTTAATCCCGATCAAACAAGGTTTTAATAAAGGGTCATAGGTCACTGTCCCTTCTTGCCTCGCATCATAACAGTGTTAATCGAATGGTCAAAGTGGTTGCTGAAGCTGGGTATTGGTAGTTGGATTGGGGCTCTCACAGGAAGACATAAACCAATCTGTGAGCTGTCGGAAAGAGTGAGTCAACAGTCACTGTGTCATCTGGTACGGTAGGGTAGCCTCATGGTCAAGGCGTTCGTTCGTCACGGCGACCGCCAGGGTTCGAGTCCCCGATTTCCATGGCAACAACGGTGAAAATCCCTATTACCTCACCAGGATCACCACTCACCCACTCACTCATCCACTCACATACCTTGGCAACATCCTCAATAACAGGTTCTCTGTCAACTTCTTCTCCATCGACAGCTCCACCGTCCTCTCCGCCACCTGCTTCTCCAGCGTCGTTGCATACTTTTCCATCAACGCCAACATATTGTCAAATATGTTGTTCTTTCTGTGGAGATATACATGGCAGTTATACCAGTGGTCAAACACAGTACTCTAATCACCCAATCAGCTGCTACGGAGACTAAACGTTACCGCTTGCACGAATACATGTAATTTCGAACGAAATCACAACAACTACGACTACTACTACGACAACAAGTACAACAACCAGGACTACTGCTGATACTAGTACAACAGGTACATCTACTAAGATTTCAATGATGACAGCTGTTACTAGTACAACTTCTACTACGAAAACCACGACGACTGCTGCTACTAGTACGACAACTACTACGACTACCACGACAACTGCTAGTACTACTACGACTACGGCTACGACTACAACAACTAGAAGTACAACTATGAGTACCATGACTACTACGACTTTTATTACTACCGCTCCGACTACGACTTCTACTACTACGACTACCACTACCGCTCCGACTACGAATACTACTCCTACTACAACGCGACTACTACTTCTACGACTACCACTACTACTACAAATGCGACTGCAAGTACTACAACATATTACACCTGTAATAAAAACAACTACTACTACAACTTGTACGACCGTGTGCACGTTTCCTGCTTACATAAAATGTCTGTTATTTCTAACCAACATTTTGAACATGAATATTATTGTCACATGTCTGTCTACAATTGCCGACCGCCTCCGTGGTCTTGTGGTAGAGCGTCCGCCAGGAGAGCGGAAGTTCCGGGGTTCGATCTCCGGCCGCGTCATACCAAAATACGTTAAAAGATGGTACTTGTTGTTAGCCTGTCTGGCGCTCGGCATTAAGGGGCTAAAACAAGGACTGGTCGGCTCAGAGTCAGTATACTGTGTCTGAGTGGGGTATTCATGTTAAAACTGCGGCATGGTATCTCAGTGTGCTAGCACTATAAATCGGCATCAGTCCGGACTAGTACAAGCAGCCACACAAACACACACACGTACATGCACGTCGCTATATAAGTGCAATAATCTTAGACGCGACGTTAAACCCCATTTCACCTCACCTCACCTACAATTGCCAGTTTGCACAATAGTCATATAACTACTTGTTTGTTTGACGTTTTCCAGATGTACATAAACATATTTGGTAGTAGTGTCAAACTATCTGTTATCAACACTTCATCTTGGTTGATTTATGGAAATATGTATTTATGTCGACAATATTTCTCCAATAACAGGCGGTATGAGATCATCTGCCAATATGTCTGTTTGTTTGTTGTTTAACGCCGCACTCTGCACGATTCCAGCTATATGACGGCAGTCTGTAAATAATCGAGTCTGGACCAGACAATCCAGTGATTGACATCATTCGTATCGATCCACGCAACTGGGATACGATGACATGCATCAACAAAGTTAGCGAACTTGACCATCCGATCCTGTTATTCGCCTCTTACGACAAGCATAGTCCTTGACTGCAAGCATGGGTTTCTGAAGAAACTACTACACCTACTACTACTACTACTACTACTACTACTACAACTACGACTACTACAACAACTACGACTACTACAACAATTACACATAAAACTACCACTACTAATACTAATACTACAATAACTACTATTACTACTACTACTACTACTACTTCTACCACAACTACTACTACCCCTTCTGTTAATATTTAATTTTACTACTACTACTACTACTACTACTACTACTACTACTACTACTACTAATATAAATAATAATAATAATTTTACTTCTACATCTGCTACCATACGAATACATCTATTACTACTTCTACTACTACTTCTACTACAACTAATACTACTGCTACCACTACTATTATTATTTAATTTTACTACTACTACTACTACTTCTACTACTACTACTAATAATAATAAGAATAAGAAGAAGAATTTTACTACTGCTGCTACTATTACTAGTTCTACTACCATTACTACGTATACATCTACTACTACTTCAACTACAACTACTCCTTCTACTACTACAACGACGACGATGTATGGACAACTCACAGGCCGTGGTGCATGACCCGAAGTTTTTGTTTGATCATCTTAAAGTCCGGTCGGACATCCGGGTACTCGGCCCAGCAGTCCCGCATACACTCAATGATGTAGGGCTGGCACTTGAGGGTGTCTGTGGGGGGACGGAATGGCTTGTTGGGGGTGCGCTGCCGCACACGTTGTACGACCTCTGTCGATAGAAACACAATATGAGCACCGCGGGACGTGACACCCAACTCTCTGTAGCATGCCCCCATGAATACCTTTCCACAAACGGGGACAATTGGCCTTCGCAGTAAAATTGATTCCGATTCTTCAAAACGAAAAACTCTATAATTCAGCTTCAGCTGTTTACTACGAAAGCCTAATGGTGCCACTTTGGTAGTATTTTTTTTCAAATCGAAAACTATTTAAAACATCTTTTGTTAATTTTCTCGAAATTTCGATTTTTTTCTCGGTACTTCGATTATATTTTTGTAATTTCAATTATTTTCTCGGTACTTCCATTATTTTCTCGTAATTTCGATTTTTCACTCGTTATTTCAAGTTTATCTCAAAACTTCGAATTTTCGATATTTTTCTCGTTATTTCAATTATTTTCTTGTAATTTCGAGTTTTTTAAATAATGATAAACTAATCGAAATTACGAAAAAATAACTTCGAGGTTTGTAAATAAACTTTGAAAAAAACGAGAGAGAAATTCGAAATTATATAATTACGAGAAAATAATAGAAGTAAGGAGAAAAAGAACCTCGTAAAAAAGCAATGAGAAAGGACTCGAAAGTTCGAGAAAATAATTGAAATAACGAGAAATTACGATTAAGGAAAAATCAAATAATGCTGCCAAAGTGTCACCATTAGGCTTTCGTAGCTTACAACGTTTTTTCATGAAATCAGAATAATCTCCAGCACTTACTTAGCAAGAAGCATGAAGGATGACTGTCTTAAGGGAGGGGGATGTACTTTAAGAGACACAGTGCTTAAAGGGGTGCTGTGCCGAAAGTGGGTGTGCTCAATGACGCAGACGCAAGGGTAATTAGTGTTATGAAATAGTCATATGGGTAATTTGTGTAGAAATATATTAGTTCAATGAATACAAGAGAAATGAAATTGCAACCACATGCCTACCCATCAGCAGTTGTGTTTTATGCGATATTTTTAACGCTTTGAATTTTCTAAATTAAATTAGATGATAAAAAATTAAACCATGTAGAAATATAATATGGTTGGTGACTAAGCACCAGTATATTTACACTTTTGGATATAACACTTTAGACATTTTCATTTGAAAATCAAACATACGATAAAATCAACAGTTTTTAGTTTCATTTGCTCCTCAGTTGAAATCCGAGTTGACAGTATTAATTAGTGTCATACGGGCTTACTTCCACATATTCAGTTAACGTTTAAAAGAGCAAACTAACACTCTTGAAAGGATTGGTATAATATATTTTGTTCCAGAACTGTTGTTTAACCATAGCCAAGAAAATTGAAAATGTCTTGTCTAAGGTGTTTGTTTGTTGTTTAACGCCACACTCAGCAAAACTCCATCTATATGACGGCAGTCTATAAATAATCGAGTCTGGGTCAGACAATCCAGTGATTGACATCATGAGCATCCATCTACGCAGTTGGGATACAATGACATGCATCAACCAAGTCAACTGGCCTGACCACCTGATCCTCGCCTCTGAGGTAAAGTATAGTCGCCGTTTACGACAAGACAAGCTAACCCGGATCTTCACGGGGTCTTGTCTTGTTGGTGACATTGTCAATGAATGCGGTTAAACGCCTTTTGAAGCAGAATTATAGCAAAGGCTCAAAGTATGGGTTTCACATAATAAACCCATGAGCATCCGAACCCAGGTCGTCGGCGGGACGCGGGACGTCATCATCTGACGTTTACTCCAAGTTACCATTCGTCACCACTCGCCCCTGTCCGTACCCTACATAAAGACGTCCCATGTCCACGAATGTTAAGTGCGAAAAAACGACGAACCAATCAGATGCGCGCATGACTTCAAGAACTTCGGTCAAAAAATCCCTCAGGAATAAATGTTGATTTTATGCATTTAAAAAAATACCCAAGATACAGTTAAGTCATGATGTCTTTTCAATTGCATCTGGAATATATATGATATATGAGGGAAATATACGTGAATCATTACGCGGCGAGTTGAGAATTCTATGTCCGTTTGCGCTTAGGCAGAACCCAGTCGCAAACATGGCACGGGGCACGGGTCGCTATTGGCTTGTCCCGGAGTAGTTACCTTTTGCTGTCAAGTCAGTGTCCCCCCAGGGGCCCTTCCGACTATGGATGTCATACAGGATGAGGGCGAAGGCGTATACATCCCCCTTCTGGGTACCCCGGGGCTCGTGAACGCCGTCCTGCAGCAACTCAGGGGCCTTCCACTTTAACCCTGGAATAACAACAACTTTCATCAGTTTTGTACCTGTTTTATATATTTAAATCTAACAAATGACGGTGCATATTCACCGATCCCTTCACCAAAAATATTTCTGACATTTACAGTGAATAATCAGTATTTGATGAGTGCTGCCTTTGCAGCAGCAGCTACTTTCGCCAATGGTTCCACCATGGCTGGGTTACAATGACAATGTCGCACCAGTAGCAAGATCATTTGTAATCTTAAAATTTCAAGTACAATTGGAAGTTTTTAAGAAGTAATTTCAATTATCTGAAAACAAAAAATACTGTTTATTGATATGGTCTAATATAGATGTAAATATAGGACTGTTATCTGTAATCTCGATACAGTTCTGGATCCAGTGACAGTGACGCCAGCAACTGTCACCATCCTTATATCCATCTGTTAACACAGATTTGTACGTATCATTTGTGCTTCGTAACTGATTATATGTATATACAGTGAATATATAACTTGATTTGTTTCAGATATGTATAGTTTTTTTATATCGGTTTTTAAAAAGACTGACGACGGGAATATGTTTTCCATTATAATACTGGCAGTAGAAATAAACCGCTGGATTCTGATTCCAAGAGGTAGAATAGTTGATGAGTTCTTATGGTAGAGGTCTTCATTAAGAAGACTACGCGGGCAGCTGTATGCTGGATGAGACTGATTAGTTTTACTGGAATGATGGCTGTATGTGCAGTTGTCTAAGAGATGGTCCATCAGATTCAGTGTACAACGGTCAGTGTCAGCAGATGTGCAGGATGCAAGACAGGGCAGGACCTTGAACCAGCAGAATAATGTGACTTTCACAGCCCACCTTTGATGACGGACCATTGTTTAGAAGGGATAAGTGATCTTTGAAGTGAAGGAGGGATGATTGCTCTCCTTCCTGTTTTAACAACTTTTAATATACCCTGTGCGTACAGACCTTTGCCTTTAGAATTTTGTATGAGGAAGTAAAGTCAATATGTACACCTACATCTAATACAGGAAATACTTCTACTTCTACCACCACCATCGCTACTACTACTACTACTACTACTACTACTACTACTACTACTACTACAACTACTAATACTACCACCATCATCACTACTACTACTACTTCTACCACTACAACAACAACTACTACTACTACCATTGCTACGTATACACCTACTATTACTACTACAACTACTATTACTACAACTACAACTACTACTACTACTACTACTATTGCTACGTATACACCTACTATTACTACTACAACTACTATTACTACTACTACAACTACTATTACTACTACTACAACTACTACTACTACTACTACTATTGCTACGTAGACACCTACTATTACTACTACAACTACTACTATTACTACTACTACAACTACTACTACTACCATTGCTACGTATACACCTACTATTACTACGACAACTACTACTATTACTACTACTACAGCTACTACTACCATTGCTACGTACACACCTACTATTACTACGACAACTACTACTATTACTACTACTACAACTACTACTACCATTGCTACGTATACACCTACTATTACTACGACAACAACTACCACAACCACTACTTCTACTACTATTACTACTGAAGCAACAGTTACTGCTTTTATCTCCAACTCCTACTACATCACAGCTGGCGCTACGGTAACCACATCTCCTACGTCATGTTCACATACTGCAAGCTGTAAACACGCCCTCTACTGCAGTTACTAAGCTTACAGATAGTGTTTCCACGTCTCTCACCACTACTACCACCACCACCACCACCACTACCACCACCACCACGACTACTACTACCCCAACAGCTGCTACAGCTGCGTTGATAACTCACAAGTGATATCAAGCTACAACGCCAACCCCTGCCATGACCGCCAGGATGACTTACTGGTGTAATACTTGTTCTCGTGTTTGCTGGACTGGCTGGAACTGAACAGAGAGTACAGCCCGAAGTCCGTGATCTGCAGCACCCACCGGCTGTCAACGAGGCAGTTGCTGGACTTGAGGTTGCCGTGGGAGACGATGCGGCTGTCGTGTATAAACGTCATACCCTGCGGGGAAGAAAAATAATTCTGCTCATATATGGCGTCGAAATTCCCTAAGGTATAAACACTTTTAAAAAGTGATTATTCTCAACGGGTCATTTATTATTAGCCGAGTGAAGTACTGTTTTAGTGCGAGTGATACGTTTTGGTTTTGCCTGGTTAAAATTCCGTTTTAATTTTAGCTCTGTGATTGTCAAGATTGTCCGTATTTTAACTTTAGCGTAACTCACTTCCTTCCTTAAGGGACCGACCATTTGATATTAGGCAGTGGCTAGGATTGTTTTTGAAAAAAAAATGTTCTCATGTTACACCAAAATACAATACATTGTCCGCTGGACATGCGGGTCAGCCAAGACAAAATGTGCGTGAAAAATATAATATTCGGCACCTCCTTTCAAAAGCAAAAGCAAACGATACATAGAAAGATTATTAAAAGGTCGGTTCCTAGGCTATGACGTCACGGTTGCTAGTGATTTTTCTGTCAGCTGGTGAAGCGGTTATGTTGACATCAGTGATCCCCCCCCCCCCCCAAACCACCTGGTTATGTTTAATAGGATAAAACTATACACCGCACTGTTAAGTCAATCATTAAACATCGATAACCGAAGATAATCACCCCGATGAGGTATGCGAGTAGAGAGGACGCAAACATGTCGTCGTGTGGAGGGTCCCTAATCCCCCCAAACCACCTGGTGATGTTTAATAGGATAAAACTATACACCACAGCTGTTAAATCAACCATGAAACATCGATAACCGAAGATAATCACCCTGATGAGGTCTGCGAGTAGAGAGGACACAAACATGTCGTCGAGTGGAGGGTCCTTGTTCCTTATGATATCCTGAAATACAAAACTTCGAGTTAGGATATAAATTGAATAAATCTTGCATCCTGGAACACCCAACGACAGCTTGTGGGTCAAATTAGCTTCTGAGTACATACCTACACGACACGCTGAAACAAGATCGACGAGGGCACGTTCCAAGAATTTCCCTGCAGTTAATAACCGCTCGAGTGACAGTGCAATACAATTACTAGCGACTCGTTTGGTTAATTATAGCGTGGATTAGGCGGGGTACCATTTGGGAGGAATGTTGGCTGCCACAGGGGGGCGTGATGATGAAAGATGCAGACCATAATCACAACCTACATCCGATGAGGAGCATCCTCTCCCAAACACAGGTGTATGGTCTCCATCTTACACCATCCATAATGAAGCCCATGTGTAATCTTACTAAGGAATAATGGAATCGGATTCTAAACTGCCAGGCAAAAGAAAATTTCAATTAAAAATTGGATTTGACCAAAAACATACAAAGGTTATTAAAACGTTGCTTCGCTGAAAAAACTCTCCGAAACACTGCGAAGTTAAGGTAAAAAACTCAATTATGATACCCGTATAAAATACATCACCATCGAAAAAACATTTCTTGGTTGTTTTAATTTTGGTCACCATCAGACATGGGTGTGTACTTTCTTTGGAATGAAGCAAACATTTAAAGAAAAAAACAAAGAGGTTCAGGGTATTGTTCTTAGCTTAATCGTATTGACTCTCAACATGAGAAATATAAATGATTGCGATTTTGGACAAAAAAATCACGATTCAGTTTAGAGTATGAAAACCGATGAAGAAATCTTGAGAGAAGAGTCCAGTTTCATTATAGCTCGTTCTGAATAATGGCACGGGTTACCAAATATTCTCAAATAAGAGAATAACGGGATCGGGTCGTCAGGCTCGCTGACATGGATGATGCATGTCATCGTATCACATTCGCGATGATCGATGTTGATTGGATTGTCTGGTCCAGACTGGATTATTTACAGACCGCCGTCATATAGCTGGAATAAAGCTGAGTGCGGCGTTAAACAACAAACTCAAAAAAGTACAGAAACATTATTTTCTTCAACTTCCCGGTATTCATCATACAACTTTTACATCACTAACATTTGATAGAGGGGTATTTTTTAATAATTTGTCACCATCTATATTGCCTTTTACGCCCAATGGAACTGTTTCGGCGGATAATCGAGACTGGTTATTCTCTGGCATTGACGTTTTATATTTCCCGTTAATACTGGAAAAAATAATTCTGCTGGATGCTTTAATTGTGAAGTATAAAATGTTGTGAGAAATAATGTAAATCATGAAGCATTGACTGAAAAAGATAGTGTGCCTCTTACAAAAAAACCCATAGAATATTAAATGGTCTCAATACAGAAAAGATAACAAGAGAAACTCGAATCATATTTTTACCATAACAAGTAATTAGTTTGTATTCGCGACCCGAGAAAATAAATAAAAAAAGAAATCCAACTCAAATCTAGAATGATTTGGCAAGTCTATATTGTCGCAGATCTAAGCATTGTTCTGGGCTCCATTTGTATATTTTGTATTTTGTAGAGACTGTATATACTTTCAAATAAGATAACTTTTTTCTGGGACTGGAATGTTAGTCCAACCACTAACCTGTCCTTTTATAGCAGGAGCAACCCTGTACTCATACCAGTTAGACGATGCAATGAACACAATTGCTGTTTTTCAGACTACCGAACACAATTTACAATATTTATTACAGGTAATGGGGTAATCTGGAACAGGCTTAACACGATTGGCAACATTCTTGGGTAATACGAATCTGCTTAGTATCGCAGTGGTTGTATCAATTACAGCGTTATCACGAGAAGATAATCAGCAAATGGGAAAGGGATGCTAAAGAACTCGTTGTTACAAGGATCATTACTTGATTCAGTTATCAACTCTCATACTGCTAATTATGGCCTAGAAAGCGGCTATTTGGGGTAGATTCATCGGTGAACTGATCCCTCCTTACAATAAGATGACATGTCCTCCGACACACTGAGCCGTGACACTGGGGGCGGGTCGGGAAAAGTATGGTAAGCTTAACGCGACACCATTAACCTAATAACGACATGTTTCGAGAACATCTTTAACCAATTTGAATTTTTTGCGTCATCGCTATACCAAGCCTGTGATGATATTACAGACGAATACTTCCTTGGTATGCCCTGTTTCGTTGGACTGTTGTTACTTTGTACATGTTTTTTTGTTTAACGCCGCACTCAGCAAACATTCCAACTATATGACGGCGGTCTGTAAATGATCCAGTCTGGACCAGAGAATCCAGTCATTGTCATCATGAGCATCGATCGACGCAATTGGAATACGATGACGTGCATCAACCAAATCAGCGAGCCTCACCACCCGATACCGTTAGCAGCCTTTTACAACAAGCATAGTCGCCGACAAGCATGGGTTGCTGAAGACCTATTCTATCTCGGATCTTCACGGGTGACTTTGTACATGTTATAAGCGTATTAAGAGGGAGAACGATTGATCACCAGTTCAGTCGAATGCTTTGGTTTTAAATGTTCATTTCTTAAATCAGAGTAAAAAGGTATTTTAGGGGGTTATTTTTTTTTAAAAAGGGGGAAGGGAAGAACACCATCCGGCCTGGATCTGTCCCAAGTGTAACTGACAAAAGTATACACAGACATCTGTCGAGGCCGTCACAAATTCCCATTCAGTTCCACTTAGTCCTGTTATCCTCATGAACATGGACATAGCAGCTCCAAGTCGATTCAATTAGTCAGTATGTTGCCTTACGCAATGAAAACATAGTAAGTCTATGATGTTGTGTGTTAATCACATTAAATGTCTTTGTACCGATGGGCAAGTTGATGCACCCTCCTCCCAAATGTGCATTATGGCGTGTTACAAATCAGATATCAACATTTCCAGCCTGTTCAAACGAAAACATCAAACATCAACGCCAGGAATAATCAGTCTCGATTATCTGCCTAAACAGATTCCAATTGGCGTGAAGGGTAAAATAGTGGTAAAAATTATATGAACGGGTCACTGAAAATCAGAGATGACACTGTTCTCGAAAAGACGCGATTGCTTTCCTGTAACGAAAACTAAATGTCTCCTTATCATATCCAAGAAACAACATAACTTTCCGTATTAAAGATTCCTTTCTGTATGCATAACAAAAAAGACAAGGCCAATCCCAAGACTGCAGATGATTAAACATTGGGGAGTCTCAACTCGAGTGGAGATTATTGAGGTACGATGAAACATTGGGGAATTTCAACTCACGTGTAGATTACTGAGGTATGATTAAACATTGGGGAGTCTCAACTCACGTGTAGATTAGTGAGGTACGATGAAACATTAGGGAGTCTCAACTCATGTGTAAATTACTGAGGTACGATGAAAAATGGGAGAGTCTCAACTCACGTGTAAATTCCTGAGGTACGATGAAACATTAGGGACTCTCAACTCACGTGTAAATTACTAAGGTACGATGAAAAATTGGGGAGTCTCAACTCACGTGTAAATTACTGAGGTATGATGAAACAATAGGGGGTCTCAACTCACGTGTAAATTACTAAGGTACGATGAAAAATTGGGGAGTCTCAACTCACGTGTAAATTACTGAGGTACGATAAAAGAATAGGGGGTCTCAACTCACGTGTAAATTACTAAGGTACGATGAAAAATTGGGGAGTCTCAACTCACGTGTAAATTACTGAGGTACGATGAAAAATTGGGGAGTCTCAACTCACGTGTAAATTACTGAGGTACGATGAACATTTAGGGAGTCTCAACTCACGTGCAGACTGTGGCGGGGACAGAAATGGGACAAGATGTGGATTTGGGGAGTCTCGATACACACGCCGACAAATCGGCAGATGTTCTCTTGGTTCAGCTCCTTCCTCAGCAACAACTGCTTCTTCATCGCCCTCGTCACCTCCAGAGACTTCTTCGTCATCTGCTTGATGACCACTTGCGTCCCCCGGTACATCCCCACCGACAGCTCGTGCTCTGCCCGGGGGGGTGGCTCACACAGGTCCTCCATCTCAGAGTCTTTAGACGTCAGGAGACTGATCAAGCGGTGGTAGTGCTTGCTCTAGAACAAAGAATAGAAAACCTCTTTGTAATGTGTGTCTTTGCCGCAAGGCTAGTATGTTAGTAGGTTTAGGTGAGTGAGTTTTGGTTAACGCGGCTTTTAACAGCATTTGAGTCATATCACCGTGTGTCAGCTTGGTGTGGGAGGAAATCCCGAAATGATGCAGGTCTTGGTAGTTTTACCTTTTTGGTTAAACCACGAGGATATATAAAGAGTTGCATCTAACATACCTAGAAACATAATCAGGGTGAACCTGGGATTCGAACTCACCGAAGGGACGCAACTTGCACAGTAAATTGCACTGCCTTAAACAGCTGGGCCAATCAATCCCGAATGAGTTCAATGTCAATATTCATTAATAACATAATAAACACATTAAATGGACATATTTATATAGTTTTACGCCGCGTTAAGCAATATTCCAGACATAATTAGAAAACCATAAATTGGCTTTACACATTTTAACCAGTCGAACCCACGTGATCGACGTGACAAGCGAACGCTCCAACAACTAGGCTTCCTTACCACCTTTCAAATTAGTGAGTGAGTAAGTGTGTTAAGTTTTAAATCACATCGGCAATATTTCAGCCATATCGTGACTATCAAAGGTTAAAGTAGACGCAGGCCCCACCATGACCGACGGAGGCTATGAGTTAGCGAGTAAACGATAAATACGATGCAGATTCCACAAAAAGGTCTGTTTCGTACTTTTCACATTCTTGGAACAGAGGGTAACAGGGGGTATGTGAACAGTAGTGTTCTGTTAAACCCTTGCTCTTATTAGAATATAACGATCAGTGTAGCAGGTGTCGAATATGGAGCCCCACATGGACTACATGTACAGGTGTCAAATACTTGGACCTCTATCAAATATGTGAGGAAATTTAGCCCAAGTATAAACATCCTCTCGAATCAGGTGTAGTTGCCATGAACGACATGCTTTTAAGCACATATGCATGCACGGAAGGCACATGCACGAAATACGTTTTTTCAAATGTTTGCATATTGCTATCTTCTTTATCCAGCGTCTTATGCCTGTAATATTATATCTCCATCATTTTGATAATTCCCCTGACCCTTTCTGCACCACGGCTTTGTTTGATTCGGAAGTGACGTCACCGACATCACAGCTCCGCACATAAATTATTTCGCTCATCTGACTAATTTGATTGGATGCTCAGCGTTGCGTCATTCGAATCGGACGAAAAACGAAGACATGGAGCGAATAATGAGTAAGTGGGTTGGGTTTAATGCCGCTTTGAACAGTGTTCCATTTATATCTCTGCGTGTCTCAGGAAAGCCAAAACAAATACAGGTCAAGACGTTTACCACTTTGGTGAAATCAACGTCAACGGGTATGGTGCTGAGAAACCTAAAAACGTAATAGGGCCCACGATTATAGGTTTCTGGTGTGCCAAAGAGACGCAACTCTGCAAAGCGAATTGTGGCGCCTTCGACGACTGGGCCACCCGTGCCCCCATGGTAGCGAAAGGGTCCAGAGAATGTATCAGAATAGAATAGGGACATAATAAGGGAGGATGTCATTTGGCAACAAGTCTGAAAAAGACGTTTAGGAAAAACGCCATATTTGCAGGCCACGTTTCGCTTTCGCAGAGTAATAGGGGTTTGGCATCCATTCAGAGCGTATTCAGCTACATATAATTTTTGTGCCAAAATTCTAGCTGCATGAGCAACAAAGTAGCCCTGTTATTAACATCTGGTTGTCATGTTTATATTTTTCTTATCATCCCATACTCTGAAGTTAGCAAACGTAACAACTGGTTCTGATTTTCAAAAGTGTAATGGTGGAAACACTCAACGACGCTATTTTTTGTTTTATGTGAACCCTTTTTTTCAGTTAAGCAATTTGCTTGCCTTTGTATGAGTTTGTGATGGGTGCCACCGGTGGGGTGGAACACGCTCACCTTTTCGCGAACACCTGGTATCATCACTTTTTTCTATTGATTCCTAAACACATGCTTATGATATAGTCAGAATCTGACAAACACATTTGTTTCTGGCACAGATATCTTGTGGCTAATATGAAGAAGTTTTTGATGATTTTATTTAGTATATCAATATCGTCGGTTAGGAAATGGGACTGGTATGTTAATTTTTAATTTTTAGTTTTTTTTAAAAGTTTTCAAACAGTTATATCAAGATGTAGTCTGCTTATCGCCAGTCACGGCATTCTGAAAAGTATGCTTTCAGTACGATATTGTCCCATAACTGAAAGAAGAAAATGTCAGGTACCGTTAGAGACGATTTACTGTTATCGTCCTGGTGACTACGGTCTATTATCGACACCCCATTGTCTCGACCTAGGCGCCTTTGTTTCGATAAATGTGTGTTAAAGCGTATTTATGTGTTTTGCGTCTTACCTTATCATGAGGAAGAAACAAGAGGTCTGTCTGATGAACTTCATTAGTTGTAAAAATATCAAACTTTTCTCTATCAAAGTATATTTGCCTTATAGCTTGTTTCTTTAACCAATCCTTGGCAACATCTTTAGATACCTTAGCCACTGCAGCTAGTTTTTGTATTGCCCGATACCTTTCCAATATCCTCGCGGGCTATAGTAAATTTTATCCATCATTAATTAATATTGATCTTTCTTTAACACAATCATGACGTTCATTGGATCGCATCGCATAATTTGCATAAAACATTACCTCTGCAGTAGCATTGTTGGGGTATGAATCTGGTCTTGGTGGCAGTGAGCCAGAACCTCCATTCCCTATACCACTTCTCTACATACAGTTTAATTACATGTTGCTTTCCTGAAGTTGTGTTAATTGAGTTGCACATCTGGCTGTTCATCAAGTCGGAGCGCGGACTGGGCTATTCCAGAAAGTTAATAACATGGCGTGTTTATAATTGCTTACCTGGGTCCCGTTTCACATAGCGACCCCAAGGCCAGGGCCATCGTATCTCTCCTTCTTTAATATATGACATGGGTCGTCGTAGCGCTGAAGTCGCTCTACGGAACGGGACTGTTCTTCAGCTAAAGTATCGTACTCTTGTCGAATTTGATCTGGGATGGGGGGTGGGGGGTGGATGTGTGTATGTGTGTGTGTGTGTGTGTGTGTGTGTGGGGGGGGGGGTTATCTTGTCCCTCAGGCTAGCCAGAAACTTATAATGGTTCGCCCTGATTGCGTTTCTAGGTTTGTCAGCACCATACGCGTGGTCGTGGGTTTCACCAAAGTGGTAGACGTGATTTCGTGCTTGTATATAATGACACTAGGTAATGCTTGATAGTGTTTCCATTGCAGAATGTCAAAAGTACGGAAGGTTGTTCGTGACATCAATGCACTGGTTTTTTGTGTGGTTTCTTATGAGAGACTGTCTTTTGAGTCGTCGCATTGTACAGAATTGCGTCCCTTTGTCATGTCAGCATCCGATGATTGTGGGTCCGAATTTTGGTTCTTCGTTTGTCTGTACGTCTGTATTTTGTCTGATGCTAAATTGGTATATTATTATGTACCATTTACAGAACCAGACGTCGATATGGGTATGTCAATGGTTATGTGGTATGATATCTCCGCGGTATGAAATCTCTCCCTGTGGTCAGCTGTATGAAATCTCTCCCTGTGGTCCGCGGTATGAAATCTCTCTGTGGTGGTCAACAGAATGAAATCTCAACGTGGTGGTCCGCAGTATGAAATCTCTCCATGTGGTCCGCGGTATGAAATCTCTCTGTGGTGGTCAGCAGAATGAAATCTCAACGTGGTGGTCCGCAGTATGAAATCTCTCCCTGTGGTCAGCGGTATGAAATCTCAACTTGGTGGTCCGCGGCATGAAATCTCCCTGTGATCCGCGGCATGAAATCTCTCCCTGCGGTCCACGGTATGAAAACTCTCCATGTGTTCCGTGGTATGAAATCTCTCCCTGTGGTCCGCGTTATGAAATCTTCCCTCAAGGTGGTCCCCGATATGAAATCTTTCTGTGGTGTTATCTGGTATGAAATATCACTGTGGCGTTCCCTGGTATAAAAATCTTTCCATGGTGTTCCCTGGTAAGAAATATCACCATGGTGGTCCCCAGTATTAAATCTTTCTATGGTGGTCCCCGGTGTGAAATATCTTCGTGGTGGTCCCTTATATGAAATCTTTCAGGGGAGTTCCCCGGTATTAAATCTCTACCTGTTGGTCCCCGATATGAAATCTCTCCATGGTGGTCCCCTATATGAAATCTTTCAGTGGAGTTCCTCGGTATGAAATGTCTACCTGTTGGTCCCCGATATGAAATCTCTCAATGGTGGTCGCCGGTGTGAAATATCTTCGGGGTGGTCCCCTATATGAAATCTTTCAGTTGAGTTCCCCGGTATTATATCTCTCCCTGTGGTCCCTGATATGAAATCTCTCCATGGTGGTCGCCGGTATTATATCTCTCCCTGTGGTAGGCGGAATTAAACATTTTCCCTGTGGTCCGTGATATGAAATCTTTCAGTGGTGGTCCCCAGTATTAAATCTCTCCTTGGTGGTCCCCGGTATTAAATCTCTCCGCGGTGGTCCCCAATGTGAAATATCTCCGTGGTGGTCCCCGGTATTAAATCTATTCATGGTGGTCCCCAATGTGAAATATCTCCGTGGTGGTCCCCGGTATTAAATCTCTCCTGGGTGGTCCATAGTATGAAATCTCACCCTGGTGGTTCCCGGTATGGTCTTGTTCAAGCAACACAACACTAATATTCAAGTGTGCAACAGTCCATTCATTGATTAAAACAAGGTTGTCACGGTCGCGGAAGACAACGGGATAGCTTATACAGATAGCGTTACTCACCGGTTTTCTGTTGGTAACAATGCTTGGTTCAGAAATGAACTGGATTTCTGTCCGGTCAATCTTCCACAGGAGTCGGTCTAGCTTCTGCTCGTACAGATAATGTCTGAAACAAAAATCACCTGACTCGTATCACGGCATACAAAATAGCTACCAACATGTTTTGGTCTTAAAATATTTAAAATTTGAATTTGAACCACGTTTAAGGAAGCGTTCTAAGCTGCAGCTGTTGTAAGTATAGTAGTGAGCAGTGGTTCTAGGTCCCGTTTTACAGTCATCTTATCCATACTACCTTTACTGTGTTAATTAAATACTGTCGTCGTGAGTACAACACACACCTTTTACCATAAAATACAGCAGTGTTGAGGTGGTTGTGTGTTGTACAAAACACCGGACTCACATGTCCTAACATGTTATATGACCCGTGAAGATCCCAGTTGGAATAGGTCTTCAGCAACCCATGCTTGTCGGCGACTATACTTGTTGTAGTGAGTGAGTGAGTGAGTATGGTTTTACGCCGCTTTTAGCAATATTCCAGCAATATCACGGCGGGGGACACCAGAAATGGGCTTCACGCATTGTACCCATGTCGGGATTCGAACCCGGGTCTTCGGCGTGACGAACGAACGCTTTAACCACTAGGCTACCCGACCGCCCCTATGATTGTTGTAAGATGCGACTAACGGGATCGGGTGGTCAGGCTCGCTGACTTGGTTGATGCATGTCGTATTCCAATTGGGTGGATCGATGCTCATGATGTCAATCACTGGATTGTCTGGTCCAGACTCGATTATTTACAGACCGCCGTCATATAGCTGGAATATTGCTGTGTGCGGCGTTAAACAACAAATATACAAACAAACAAATTTATAGTACGCCACTTAGGCCAGTTTTTTACACAGTGACCATAATATTTGGTAATCCATTTTATTCATTTGATTGAACATTTCGTTCGATATCGCGTAAATTAATGTCGGCGATAGAAGCCATATTTCCTCTAGTTGTGAAAGGTTCATGGCCTCGTTTCACATAGCGTTGTCTGAGTTACAACTGTCGTAAATGAAGCAAAATTAAATCGTCCAAGTACATGCGTGTAGGGCAGTCGTACAGGCCTAGGCTCTAAAAGTAGGTTCTATTACACATAACACTTGGTTTTCTTCTCTCTATCCATAGATCTGTGTTTAAAACATTCCTTTCGAGATAGTCCACCTTGCGCGTACATGTTGGGTGACGTTCTACTCAGCGTTATAACAATGCTAATTGTTCTATGCCTGGTTTCACCATACGGCCTTATTTACGAATGTTGTAAGCATAGGATTACGGGTCATACCAAAATACGTTACAAGAGAGTACTTGTTAGTTGATACTCTGTCTGGCGCTCGGCATTAAGAGGGAGGGTCGGCTCGGAGTCCGAGTGTCCGAGTGTCTGGGCAGTGACATGGTATCTCAGTGGGCGGGCAGTATGAAACGGCATCCGTCCTGACCCATTCATACGGTGGCCCATAAGGGACATGGAGTATGTTTTTCAATATTTTGATATTTCAGTTACTGTTATCGTAACCTTTTGCAAATTAACACGATTTGTCATACAAATATGTGATAAATCATGTATAAAGAAGTTATCGAATCGCTGAAAAGTGAAGCGACAATGTCAAAAAGTAAACTGTAAATGTCAAAAATAAAAACGAAAAGGTCAAAAACTAAAATGAAAATGTCAAAAACAAAAGCTAAAATGAAAATAGATAAAAATATTTCCACCGCGGTGATAGAATTCCCACCGCAGTGATAATATTTCCACCGCGGTGAAACCTATTTACACCGCGGGGGGAATATTATCACCGCGGTGGAAATAGTTTTCTGTATTGTCATTTTAGTTTTTGACATTTTCGCTTTTGTTTTTGACATTTTCGTTTTTGTTTTTGACATTTTCATTTTATTTTTGACATTTTCGCTTCACATTTCAGCGATTCAATAGCTACTTGAAAGTACATTTTCCATGTTTTCGGTTGTTTTATACATGATTTATCACATATTTGTATGACAAATTGTGTTAATTTGTAAAAGGTTACGATAAAAGTAAGCGAAATATCAAATATTGAAAAACAAACTCCATGTCCCTAATGGGCCACCGTACATTTACACATATCGCTCACACATGCACGTGCATGCGCGTCGCTTTGAATAAGTGCCGCTTTATAAGTGCAATAATTTTGAACGCGACGTTAAAACTCATTTCATCTCTGTCCTCACACTCAAATGAATTGGTGAAACTCTTCCTGTGCCATCATAACAATGCTGAAAAGCGATCCACGCGCTATGTAGAGTCTTAGTCCAGGTTTTATGATGGGATACAAGAGCATCAGCGTTATAATGTCCGCGTTAAGCCTGTGGCACGTGGTTTATAATTCAAGAAGACATTTGACCGTCGTAATTACATACGTCAGCAATAACCAGTCATAGCCTACATCTGGACAACAGCAACCAAAACATGCATCCAATTTTCAGACCCTTCATCTTCCCAGGTTATAAAACTGACAACGTCTATCCTTAAACTACGCATTACACAGGCCTATTCCACGGCCCAACTCTGTCATGGGGTCAGATGGTGACGGACCTGTCGCTGGATCCAGACTAGGTGACATGCAGTGTATTTCCAGAGAGCTGTTATCAGGTAATGTACTTCGACACAATCCGGTTACTGCCGAGCCGACGATGTGGGCGAAACGCCGTCTACACAATCACTCCACGGATTTACATATAAATGGACGTTTGAGAAACTGCTGGCTACCATACAGCCGTAAAAATTCTCATATCGGATATTAAAAAGCAGCTTTTTTATCCTGTCACCACATCGTCTAAATGAGTACGTTGATATGTGTCATTTTCAAGATTTTTTAAACATTTATTTTCTTCTTGATTTGGCCATCTTACTGGAGCAAACTAATGTGCCATGGTGCCATATTCCAGCTATATTGAAATAACCATGGTCACTCAATTCTTTGGCCCCGTTGAAGTGAAGTGAGTGAATGAATGGAGTTTTAAGACGTATTCAGCAATATTCCAGCTATATTGAAATCACCATGGTCACTCAATTCTTTGGCCCCGTTGAAGTGAAGTGAGTGAATGAATGGAGTTTTAAGACGTATTCAGCAATATTCCAGCTATATTGAAATCACCGCTGTCACTCAATTCTTTTGCCCCGTTGAAGTGAAGTGAGTGAATGAATGGAGTTTTAAGACGTATTCAGCAATATTCCAGCTATATTGAAATCACCGCTGTCACTCAATTCTTTGGCACCGTTGATGTGAAGTGAGTGAGTGAATGGAGTTTTAAGACGTATTCAGCAATATTCCAGCTATATTGAAATCACCATGGTCACTCAATTCTTTGGCCCCGTTGAAGTGAAGTGAGTGAATGAATGGAGTTTTAAGACGTATTCAGCAATATTCCAGCTATATTGAAATCACCATGGTCACGCAACACTTTGGCCCCGTTGAAGTGAAGTGAGTGTGAACTGTTTTATGACGTAGTCAGCAATATTACAGCTATATATCAAAATGTCTATGCTCACACAATGCTTTGATCTCATTAAAATGGTTCGTTTGTTAGCTAGCTTGTTTAACGCCGCTCTCAGCAACATTCCAGCCATATGAAGCTGGTCTGTAAATGTCCACGGGGTCCGATAAACCAAATGCAGTAAAATTATCTGAGAGAGGATTTTGATATTTAGGACCCCTCCCTTTTAAATGCTTGATCCGCCCTTGTATTTGTACACTCGCTACTGTCTATTGTACCTAAAGTTGAAAGACTTGCATTACTTCGGGTTTTTCTCCCACATTATGCTGACACGATGTGAAACTGAGATACCGTTCTAAGCGGCTTTAAACCCAACTCACTCAAACCCTTCTGTCGACCCGAGTTAGAATAGGAGATCCCTATCACTCTATTGCTAAATGGAATTTGGTTGGTTGGTTGGTTTGTTGTTTAACGCCACACTCAGCAATATTCCAGCTATATGACGGCGGTCTGTAAATAATCGAGTCTGGACCAGACAATCCAGTGATTGACATCATGAGCATCGATCCACGCAATTGGGATCGATGACATGCATCAACCAAGTCAGCGAGCCTGACCACCCGATCCCGTTAGTCGCCTTTTACGACAAGCATAGTCGCCTTTTACGGCAAGCATGGGTTGCTGAAGACCTATTCTTCCCCGGAATCTTCACGGGTCAAATGGAATTTGGTGGTCAGGTTCAGTGGCTTGGTTGTCATCGTAACCCGATGGCGTGTGGCTTAGCTCATAATATCAACCACTGGTTTATGTCTCCAAGACTCGATTGTTTACAACCAACGTGATCTTGCCGACAACATCGTAAAACATACAAGCATAGAAAAAATATTCTCACCTTACAATCAGCACCACGAAGATTAACGCTATGCCCGCAGTAATGCTGCAACTAATGATGATGACGTAGTCTAAAAAGATGAAGCAGACAGAACACGTTCAGAATTCAAACACCATATACACTCGTACCACCGGAACGACGCTATGGGGTTAAATACACACCACAAAAAATACCTTCGTATTATTGAATAGCCGTTATCATCAACGTTCATCCTGTGAATTGTAGACACAACAGAAAGGGGTAAGTTTCCTTGTGTGTTTATTGTTTAACATCTCTCTCAGCAATATTCCAGCTATATGACGGCGGTCTGTAAATAATCGAGTCTCCACCAAACTATCCAGTGATTGACACAGTGAGCATCGATCTACATCAACCAGGCCAGCGAGCCTGACCACCCGATCCCGTCAGTTGCATGAAAGCATGTGTTGTTGAAGACCAATTCTCAGCCGGATCGTTCCGGGTAAGTGATTCTCCATTGACTTTTACATATTGCAGGGACATTGGCAGAACAATCTCATTAAAATCAGATCTTAGTTGTTGCTACCGCTAAACAAAGATCTGAGGACATCCCATTACGGGTCACGTTAGACCGACCTTGCGCGAACTTTGACCGACCAATAAAATGACCAATCAGAAGGCAGCTTTCTCGTGCTTTACGGCACAAATTTCAAATTGGCGACTACGCTTCGAAGCATATTTTGACAAATTCTCGATAACAAATTTGAAACCTGAACAAAACATTCTGAAATGACTAATAGATGGTCTAGATTGTAAGGATTCAGTCGTTAAACCCGTAACTATCGTTCGGAATACCCCATGTTAAAGTTTTCGAGATTGCATGATTAGAAATCACATACCGACTGTCACTTTCATAATATGGTAAGCGACGCACTGATTAGTCGGATGAAAGGTCGTTCTGACGTGACCCCTAATGGGATGTCTTCAGATCTTTGTTTAGCGGTAGCGAGAACTAAGATCTGATATTAATGAGATTGTTGGTAGAACTGAAAAAGAATATTATAACGTTAATAAATAAACAATATTAGGGCCCAGTTTCCCAATGCGATCTTAGTGCTTTGATTACCGTAAGTCTGTGTTGGGAGTGCTACGACCGCTTCGTGCAACGGGGCCCTGGTTTATATCATGACTGACGCAGCATCGGACAATTAGGTGAAGTGAAACGTGATTTAATAATAACCTCGCGTTAGATTACTACACTTATACAATGACGTGCATGCACGTGTTGTTGCTTGTTCCATATATAAAGGTGACAAAAACATTTTCATAATCATAATCAATGCGCTTTTATAGTGCTTGCCCACTGAGATACAATGCCGCAGCTTAACATAGATACCCAACTCGGACGCATTTCTCGGAGACGGCTTAGTCTTGTTTTATGCTCTGGATGCCGAACGTCAGGCAGGGTAACAACAAGTACCAACATTAACGTCATTTGGTATGACGCGGCCAGGAGTTTGAACCAACCTCTCGGGGCAGATACGTTGGACAATAAGCCTTGTCACTAAGAGGCTATGATACCCAGAATGTCTTCGATGAGACAAACGTCAGTACAAATGGCTACCGTGCCTAACAGAATCTGGTACTGGGACCCATTCTAAATGGAATCACAGGACTTACTTTTTCCAGCACATTTGTCCCCGTGAAATCCACATTCAGGCTCGCTAGGGGGCGGCTTGCCAAGGATCCATCCTATATTGTTTTCAGATGGAAGGAAAATCTGAAAAATACATAGTCCCTATATAAACAAGGATGACCCAACGAATACCAAACGCATTTCGTGTCGCAAACTATGTCAATTCATCTAAAATGCCAGGCAAACGAAACTATACACTTGAAAATTACAAACGTTATCAAAAGGTCAATAGGCCGAAAACAGTGAGTGAGTGAGTGAGTATGGTTTTACGCCGCTTTTAGCAATATTCCAGTAATATCACGGCGGGGGTCACCAGAAATGGGCTTCACACATTGTACCCATGTCGGGAATCGAACCCGGGTCTTCGGCGTGACGGGCGAACGCTATAACCACTGGGCTACCCGACCGCCCCCGAAAACAGTGCCGAGTGAGTATGGTTTTACGCCGCTTTTAGCAATATCCCAGTAATATCACGGCGGGGGTCACCAGAAATGGGCTTCACACATTGTACCCATGTCGGGAATCGAACCCGGGTCTTCGGCGTGACGAGCGAACGCTATAACCACTGGGCTACCCGACCGCCCCCGAAACCAGTGTCGAAACACCGCAAACTTAAAGTTCCAACCTATGAAACCAGTATCAAATGTTTCACCATCGAAACATTTCTTGTTTGTTTCATCATAAGCCACCATCAAACATGCGTATATACTTTCTTCTACCCGGCAGTGGTCGGTCGGGTAGCCTAGTGGTTAAAGCGTTCGCTCGTCACGCCGAAGATATACAGCAAATAGACGGAACCCCAAAACAGTTCGTTATATCCATCAGTTTGGTATAAGGGTGTTCGTTATAACCGTAGTTTACTGTACTACAGTTAATTTGTCATGCCATGAAGAACTCTTGTAGTATTAAAGAATCGGGTGGTGCTAAAAGTCTTCCAGAGAAGTGTGGCAGATAACCATTAGTTAGAGGAAAGAGTAAGTGAGTGAGTGAGGTGGGTTTAACGCCGCTTTTAACATTATTTCAGTCATATCGCGGCGCGTCAGCTTAATGTGGGAGAACAGCCCGAAGTGATGCAGGTTTTAGACGTTTACCACTTCGGTGAAACCCACGAGCACGGGTATGGTGCTGACAAACCTAGAAACATAATTGGGGCGAACCTGGATTCGAACCCACAATCATAGGTTTCTGGCGTGCCCAAGGGACGCAACTCTGCACAGCGAATCGCGGCGCCTTAGACGACTGGGCCATCCGTGCCGCTAAACAAAGTTAGAAGAAAGAAGCAGGTGGTCCTTAACATCTTTTGAGTAGTATAAAATCGCCGTAGCGCTACAATCGCTCAGTGCAAGTGGCCATGAACCATTAGTCACGGTCTTGTAATCGTGAAATAAATTTAAAAAGATAGATACCGAATCCAAAATTATGTAGTTGTATTATAAAGTAGCAGCCATTTAATTCTAAAGATTCATATTGACTTAAAAACAGATAAACAGTGACATCCACCCGTGACAAATGCAGAAACCATGTCTACATGAGTTATCCATTATCTACATCGATTTCAGAACTTGATGGAGAGGACATTTATGACAAGCTCAAGAAACATATTAGTCAAATTGAATTGCCAAAATGCATCCGTATGGGAAAGTTAAAATTAAATCTTCTGAAGAAGATTTGAGGGACATTTTGATTTTCAACATTTGCGATTGATTGACATGCAACATCAAGTGCAGAGTTCTGTCTGATATATGTCATATTTTAAAAAATGAAGTGCCAGTTGTCTGTCATTTGGACATGTTCCGTAACTGTGACAATCTTTGAAATTGAAATGTGGTTATCTGACGTCTCCCGTAACCTTTAACCTTCACTGAATCCGTGAATACAGACAGTGTCGGTCTCTGTGGAATTATCCGGATACATAAATCGTCGGCAAAAGAAATTATACACCCATGTTTGATGGAGCCTAAACATAAAAAAAACAAGTTAAGGTAAATTGATGGTGACGTATTTGATGCGGGCATCATAGTTTTATTTTGGACTTAAGTTTGTGTTTTTATATCGATTATAAATTAAAAAAAACAAATCCAGTTTTTAAGTTTATACTTTCTTTTGCCAGGCAGGTTTAGACGATTTTAACAGTACTCGCTCGGAAATTGGGGTTTCCAGAATAACGACATTTCTCTGTACATTGAATGTAAAGGCGTACCACTTCATGCGAGTTGTTTTCTTTCGTTTTGAACATCCCAACGTTCTTCATCTTTGGTTTCGGGCCGTCGTCGCCCACTTCCACGCTCATGAGACTGTAGTTGCCGACGTTGTCGCCTTTCTCATCGATGTGCATCTCAAACCCATAGATGCCTGTGCGGACATATAGAGAATCTCACCAGAGTGTCTTTTGATATCAAATATATCAACACGAGTGGATAAAAGTGGGAACACACCGAGGCTTGCCGAGGATTTTTTCCACTTTTATCAACGAGTGTTGATGTATTTGATATCAAAAGACACGAGGGTGAGATTATATTTATCATTCAACATCATTCTTCCAACTTTTTCAGTTTGTAGACAGTAATAAGCAGTGTCTTTAGTGTAAAAAGTACTGCTTACAGCTTCAGTAGCAGAGCCATTAGTGATGTCATTTGATTGTGACGTCATGTAACCAATGACGTCACAATGGTCTGCAAAGCATTGGGATGCAATTTCATTGCAGCGATATCTACAGTGTAGAGTGAGTGAGTGAGTTGGGTTTAACGCCGCTTTTAACAGTATTCCATCTACAGTGTAGATATCGCTTGATCTCACCAAAGCGATATCTCTTGTTGGAGCCAGTTTTGGATGATAAATTGATACATATTTAGGGCTGGTTATTTCCGGATTGTTACGGAAGAGTTATCTATCCTTTCTAAATCTTTGCTGTGATGGTTGCTAACGAGTTCATGTAAATAACTGGCAACTGAGATGACACAACGGGAAAACGATACAATGTGACCCAAAGTACAGCTTCTGATGAGAAACACTTTGTACATGGCCGTTATAAATTCTTGGACAAAAGAGGTCGCTTGTACCAAGTATGTGGGACTTGGATGATGCCATGCAAGCCCGATGGCATGGATATTCATTGAGTGTCATACCCTTAATTATTGGGAGGCTGCCTTCGTGCACTAGAAGGTGAGTGAGTGAGTGAGTTGAGGTTAACGCCTCCTTTAACAGTATTCCAGTTATATCACGGCGTGACAGTTTAATGTGGGAGGAAAGCCCGAAGTGATGCAGGTCTCAGACGTTTACCACTTCGGTGAAACCCACGAGCACGGGTATGGTGCTGACAAACTTAGAAACATAATCGGGGCGAACCGGGATTCGAACCCACAATCATTGGTTTCTGGCGTGCCCAAGGGACGCAGATCTGCACAGCGAATCGCGGCGCCTTAGACGACTGGGCCACCCGTGCCCCCGCACTAGAAGGTGAAAGGTTTTTGACTGCGACATATATGTCACTCCTTTACTGCAGGACACTGACACTATAAGACACTGCCTGAGCAAGGGTTCACTTGGATTGGGGACACGCTTTTGTTTAACACCGCTTTTAACAGTATTCTAGTCACATCACGAAGTGTCACATTGATGTTGGATGAAAGACTGAAGTGAGGGTTTTGAACCCAAACCGATCATAGGTTTTGGCGTACCGAAGGGACGCAACTCTGCACAGCGAATTGCGGCGCCTCAGAAGACTTGGCTATCCGTGCCCCGTGCCCCGTTACTGCGGCAATCGGAACTAGTGACATTTGAACTTGTCATTGATGTATTGATATTTGACCTACATGAAGGACAATTGCGATGCATCAATGGTTCGACCTTATTAATAATATACCTGCAGCCATCGTGAACATGCAATCCCCACTATCGTAGGAAAACGGGGAGCCTTTCTGTCCCGGATACTGGTGTCGTCAAAAATAATTCATTTTTATGAAAGCATGTACGATGTAAAATAGAAACACAATACTATAGCAATTTTAAATTTTACAGGGGTTAAAGTCCTGTGTTTTCCAAGCGTGTCACGGGTGGCCCAGTCGTCTAAGGCGCCACGATTCGCTGTGCAGAGTTGCGTCCCTTGGGCACGCCAGAAACCTGTGATCGTGGGTTCGAATCCCGGTTCGCCCCGATTATGTTTCTAGGTTTGTCAGCACCATACCCGTGCTCGTGGGTTTCACCGAAGTGGCAAACGTCTGAGACCTGCATCACTTCGGGCTTTCCTCCCACATTAAACTGACACGCCGTGAAATAACTGGACTACTGTTAAAGGCGCCGTTAAACCCAACACACTCACTCACTCAAGTGTGTCACAGCGAATCTGATCTTACTTGTGTATGATCTGTTCCTCATCTGTTCCACGATGGCAGTCGCGTTGTAGATGTCCCCCTTTGCTTCGGCTTGTCTCGCAACAGCTTTGATATACAGCTTCACTGCGTCGTACAAGTAGGCGGCTTTCAAAGGCGAGGGGGACTGGGTTGAAAAACAACGTACATATAACAGGTAAGGTGTGGTGAGGTGAAATTAGGTTTAACGTGGCGTTCAGTGATATTGCGACGTGCATGCATGTATGTGTGGCTGCTTGTACTTGTCGGGACTGATGCCGGTTTTATAGTGCTAGCCAAATGATACCATGCCGCAGTTCAGACACTCAGACACAGTATCCTGACTCCCAGCCGACCAGTCCTTGTTTGATCCCCTTTATGCCAGGAGACAGGGCAACAACAAGTACCATCTTTTAACGTCTTTTGGTATGAACGCCGCGATATAACTGGAATACTGTTAAAAGCGGCGTTAAACCCAACTCACTCACTTTTGGTATGAAGCTGCCGGGAATCAAACAACCGACCTTGCGCTCACCACACAGACGGTCTTTCCACTAGACCACAAAGACGGTCTCATGGTAGCGTTCTCACACCTATTTGTCGCGCTTTTTACAGCGGATCCTGTGTAAACCGGATTGATCCACATGTCATGAAACGATACCCATGTTTATCATATAATGGATAGTGTTTTCGATCCGAAAAATCAATCCGACATACTTGGTATCACGATCCGATAAGGAAGCAAATATGGTCAATCAGCAGGAAATATGATTGTTAAGCAAGAGAAATCAATGCAATGTAAATTTGCTTAAATAACTATTGCCTAGCGTTACCAACGCATTTAGACATTGGTTTCCCGGTGTGTTGGTGGTTATGTGAACACACACAGCGCCAAATTTGACATAATTTGATAAATGAGGCGGTTAACTCTATCAATGTCTTCATGTGTGGGCTCTCAGTTACTTCAGTGAGGTAAAGTAGATCTTAAGCATCGATTATTCTAAGAATAACATTATAAACTGCCGGGTATAAGAAAGTATACACATATGTTTGATGGTGGCTAAGAATTACACAAACGAGAAAAAAATGTTTATTCGAGAGTGATGTAACTGACACGGGCATCATGGTTGTGTTTTGGACCTTAAAGGGGAAGTGTACACGCAAAAATCACTTTCTTTCTTTTTCTAAACAAAACGCAATTTTAGAATTAATTAGTATCTGTGTTTGAAAATATACACTCATTTTTTTCACAGTGAAAGTAGGAAGCTCACAATAGTGTGAAAATGATATGCCGTTATGATGCCTTCGTTTTTCGAGCTAAACAGGCCTGAGTTATCCCCCTTAGATTATGACGTAATTGGTGCCAATTCAACTGGGTCCCTGTCTATTCTCAACGCAAAAGATATCAAGTACCAGTTTGCGGTAAAACAACATGGTCTACGACACACTCCGGCGCAGTGGTGACTCAGCATAACACTATGCTGGCTGGCATCTGAGACGCTAGAATCACACATCTAGACCTACACCACGTGAAGCGGCTCTAACAAAGCATGATGACGTCATAATGTTTATCAATTGGCACCAATGACGTCATATTGCAAGGGGCATAAGCCATGGTGTTTTTGTTGTGGAAATAGAACACTTGGTAAATGTGAAAAATATAAATCGTTTTAATGCGAAAAATATGTTAATTAATTGTGATATTTTTATATTTTTGTCTATGACACTTCTAGGTTAACACTTTTAATGTGGAAAAAGTACAAGAAAAATAGGTTAATTTCCGTGTGAACTTGCCCTTTAAGTTTGTATGTTTTGATAACGTTTGTAATGTTTTAGTCAAATCATTTTTCAAGTGCACACTTCCTTTTGCCCAGCAGTGTACGACACACCCGGCCCATGATATCAGCGTCACGAACGCTACACCAATTTTCCGAAAACATTTTGTGTCACTGCACACACGATTTCAGGTAAAATAGGGCAATTTTGATACAAACAAAGATTATAGAAAAAAACACGAATAATTTATCATTTTCGTTGCCTATATTCATGTTATTCCAAGGATAAGACTGAATAGTATTAACTCAAACAGTACACCATCGGAGTACAAATCTACACATATTTGAGGAACTGAATAAAGTGTATCCTTGAGTTAAAATATTAGGTCGTACCGATCCATGGCTGAATCGTTTTACATTTTGACGTGCAAAATATTCACGGGTGTCCTGACAACAAATAACCATTACAAATAAAAATAATTTACTTTTTCACTGGAGCTAAAATAAAAATCGGTTTGTGTTTTAACCGGCTATAAATAGAAAGGTAGTATTCCCCGTGAAATTCACCGTCATTAGGGAATTATATGTACGAAGTAATGTCACTTTGGACACGCGTAAACAGACACAGCAGTGTTCTTCAGAGGTCTGACTAACGAAGTTTCAGTTTCTCCGCTGAAGCTATGGGTCATCGACCGAGCCATTTCTAAATTGACCGCACACCAGCAACTTGAGTTAACTATACACTTAGCAATTTGCTTGACATCCGCCCCCTTGCGAAAGTCAATTACCATACAACGTTCATCATATTGAGTTATCTATAGAACAATTTTGTCAGAAACAAAGTTAAAATTATCTACAAATAACTGGTGTCAGTTTATTCCGCAGTGCACCATATTGTAGTTCTACAATGTCACGACCTTGTTCGTTGCTATACATATACTCTAAACCGCACCCGTGAAGTTCCGGGGTAGAATAGGTCTTCAGCAACCCATGCTGGCCGTAAAAGGCGACTATGCTTGTCGTAAGTGGCGACAAACGGGATCGGGTGGTCAGGCTCGCTGACTTGGTTCATTAGTTAGTTGTAATGTTATGATACTTTACAAGCAGTAAGGAAGTTGAACCATACCGTTAAGTTTTGATACGGTGCGAAGTTAATCGGTTCTTGCATGTTTCTCTTGCCGATTCTCTCGTCCATCTCATTCCACTCCGTACTTCCGTTTGTTAGACGCATGAGAATAACAACGTTCTGGAAGGCTTGTAGGCGTTCCTTGGGTATGAATTTCATGTCATGTTCTGAAATGCAATAATATATTTTACTATTATGAGGATGAAGGATGTAATGACAAAGCTGTATTACCGTAAACATCAAGATACGGAACAATCTCATTAAAAGCAGATCTTAGTTCTCGCAAGAACAATGATCTGAGGACATCCCATCCCAGGTCACGTCAGAACGACCTTTCACACGACCAATCAGAGCGTCGCTTACCAGATTTATAAAGTGACGGTCGGAATGTGTTTTCTAACAAGGCAACGGTGGTGAAGTGCCATGGGTTATTCCTAACGACAGTTACGGGCTGTATGACTGACTCATCAGTTTGATAAATATTTGACCGAGTGAGTTGGGTTTAACGCCGCTTTTAACATTTTTCCAGTTATATCAAGGCGTGTCAGCTTAATGTGGGAGGAAAGCCCGAGGTGATGCAGATCTCAGACATTTACCACTTCGGTGAAACCCACGAGCACGGGTATGGTGCTGACAAACCTAGAAAAACAATCAGGGCGAACCGGCATTCGAACCCACAATCATAGGTTTCTGGCGTGCCCAAGGGACGCAACTCTGCACAGAGAATCACTAAAAGACTGGGCCACCCGTGCCCCAGATAAACATTTGAAACGGAAGAGTGAGTAAGTTAAAATTTAACTCACTCACTCTTCCGTTTGAGTTTCCATAGCCCTTCGGGAGTGTTGCCATACAATCTCAGCAATCTGGAATTTTCTTTGTTCAGTTTTAAAATTTTTAATTTTTAATTTTCACAAAATATTTTTCAAAAATTAGTCTAGAATGGAAATCTCCAATTTGAAACTACATGCGCAGTACTGTACAGCTCCAGCAAACTGCTTCTGGTTGGCTAATGTCAACTTGTTTGTCATTTCATTGGTCGGTCAAAGTTCGCGAAAGGTCGTTCAAGTCTCTCACACTTAACATGTGATTACTTAAAGGTAATGCATGACCTTGACATAGCCCCCTTTGAAAAACAAATGTATTATGTAGGCAGTAAAATTGACTGAGAGGGGAATTTGATATTTTGGACCCACCCCTCCCTTTTAAAAAGGCTGGATCCGCCTTTCCTTGACACGGTTCCTACCTTCCTTCAATGTCTGGAAGAATTTCTTCTGTCTGTACGTGACCGACTTCCTGTCGAGGTCGGTTGCTATGACAGCGTACTCTCCTGTTTTCGTCAGCCCAAGCCTTTGCATCGCCATGACGAATTGAATCAGACTTGCGTAGTCCCCGAGAAAGACATAGACTGAAAATGTGTGGATATTGTACTATATTGATATGTACAGACATGTGTCATGAAGGGGTGTCCGGGATTGAAGGTCGAGAGATGTGCATGGACGTCCAGCTCGTAAAATCCCGCACACCCCCGCTAGTGACACATGCAAACCATTTATCAATCCGAGTTCACAACTGACAATGACATACTTTCGGTAAATGACACCTATCATAATCATAATCATAATACTTATGTGTGTAGATATTTTGACTTGTACCATATGTTCCCGTGTTTTTTCAGGTGAACAATTGACTTGCCTTTGCATGGGTTTGTGACGGGTGCCATCACTGGGGCAGGATACGCTCACCTTTTTGCGAACACCTGCTATCATCACTATTTGATAGTGATTTATAAACAGAGGCTCATGATATAGTCGAACTCGTAAAATCGAACATGGAAAGGGTTTTGTCGCTTGTATAAATAATATTGCGCAAACCTAATTATTGCTCAAAGGGCAAACAGTTTTACCCCGGTCAATGGATCTTCATATTCACAGCTCCATGGGGAGTATGCGGCAGACTATTATCAATAATAATATAAACTAGGATCAATAATGACTTTACAAGGAGGCTAGTCTGCCGGCTTTTCTTGTTTTTTTACAATACTGAGTCTCGGCTCGACCCTGGCGCCACATCGCGTAGATCACGAGTTGTGCCCCTTGTAATGAAAACGCGATATCCAATCAGATCGCTGTTCTATCTCGTATAACTTCACAAAGATGGCGACTACCACAGGCGAGGACCTAGGCGATCAGATAACCCAAACATTCGGGATTTCACAAAAACACAACAACATAGGCATTCGTTGGGGGGATTAAATGATGAAAAAGACATATTCGTGTCAATAAAGACAGGCAGGGGTAAATGACTTTCATACGAAGTTGTACCAGTCGGGGATGTTGATTTTGTAAAACATTCTCTGATTGGACTATAGATATGTGCGACAGTCCAATCATATTTAACACAGGAAGTGGGCTTGATGTGGCAAGGGTGGAAACAAGACTTTTATTAAAAAAAGGCTTGTGGACGCTCGGTAAGATGGTATTCTACCTGTCCTAACTCTTCTTTGGATTACAAGGAAACTAGCGAAGACATATTCGCGAATAGACAAAGCTAACGTATTTATTCTAGGACAATATAGCTGTAAAAAATATATGAACGGTCCACTGGAAATCAGTGATGACGTCAGGTGTTCGCGAAGAGCGATGCCTCATTTCAAACAAACAGGTACAGTACTCAATCTACTGTCGCCTCATAAACAAATGAATTCAGCTAGCATCGTACTTCTCGTTCTGTCACGAGTACTGCGAATCATGTTCTCGAATATGGTCTGGTTGACACCGGGGAAGTATCGGTCGTTGACGTCATTCTCTCTGACGTCCGTGATGTGGATTTCGCTGGTGAGGTTCCCAAGGACACGGGTGGTCTCCTTCCAGCGGTCGGTGAGCCCGCTGATGATGGTGTAGGACGTCCAGTTGTTGTACTTGAGGAAGGAGATGATGAAGGGGGCGACCTTGACGTCAGAGGGCTGGGTGCTCACAACGTGGTACTTCTTCATGTTGCTCTCGCTGGGGGTGTACACACAGTCCTGACAACGGATAGGGAATTACTGATGAGGAATGTGATAATCATATGATTACAATCTCATTATAATCAGACCTTAGTTCTCGCTATCGCTAAACATAGTTCTTTCATCCCACCAATCAAAGCGTCGCGTACCAGATCATGAAAGTGACAGTTGGAATGTGTTTTCCAATCATGCAACCTCGAAAACGTTAACATGGTGTATTCCGAACGACAGTTACGGCCCGTACGACTGATTCCGTCAAAATTATCTTCTATCTCTCGCTTCCGTGGGTTAAACATTTGAACGGAGGAGGCATTGCCCTGTACGTGGGAAGCACTGCCATACAATCTCAACAATATATTAGACATTCCGGAATGTTTGTGTGTTCAGTTTTGAAAAATTTTAACCGAGAACTGTGTCAACATATTTTTCAAGCGTAGTCTGAAATGGAAGTCGCCAGGTTGAAAGGAGTGTCGTAAAGCTCGAGAAAGCTGCTTTCTGATTGGCTGATGTCGACTTCTTGTTTGTCATTTTAGTGGTCGGTCAAAGTTCGCGAAGGGTCGTTGTGACGTGACCCGTAATGGGATGTCCTCAGATCTTTGTTTAGCTGTAGCGAACACTAAGATCTGATTTTAATGAGATTGATATGATTATGAAGGTTATGATTCATAACATCTTAGAAAATACTTATAATGATAATGATGATAAAAATAGTTCACGCCGCTTTGATCAGCATTCAGGTTATCACGCCGTGTCTCCTAAACTTGACGAGGAAGAACAGCCTGAAGTGATGCAGGTCTCAAACGCTTACCTCTTTAGGTAAAACCTACGAGAACGGGTATGGAGCTGAACCACCAAGAAACATAATCAGGGCGAACTTGGATTCGAACCCACAGCCATGTTTCTGGCGTATACTACTACTACTGCTACTACTACTACTACTATTACTACTACTACTACTACTACTAATAATAATAATAATAATAATAATAATAATAATAATATTGATGAAGAAGACTCTTTTATGAGTAACAACTCCTTTAATGTCTGTTTACACCTTTCAATGAATGAAGAAGTTGTTAGTCATAAAAGGTATCATGTCTTCATGTTCTTCCAGGGGCGGTCGGATAGCCTAATGGTTAAAGCGTTCGCTCGTCACGCCGAAGACCCGGGTTCGATTCCCGACATGGGTACAATGTGTGAAGCCCATTTCTAGTGTCCCCCGCCGTGATATTGCTGGAATATTGCTAAAAGCGGCGTAAAACCATACTCACTCAATCACTCATGTTCTCCCTATTTGTAAATGCCTATCAGAGACCAGCTTAATGCATATCACAACGGACTGTCAATACGTGTTTACCGACAACCAGCTGTTTTCTGTGCCTGTCATTTGCCAGTGTGGGTGCTCCTCGATTATCCAGTGTATCAAATCTTCATATTTATGTTGTTAAGTATAAACCCTGGATCCATTCGTCACCAAAGCGAAGTGACGTCATATATCAATTTCCGTTACCACAAACCTCTTGAAATCAACAACCAATCAAAGTCTTCTGAACATGAAATCGGCACAAGACCTATTCATACATTGTAACCTCGCACGAGCGTGCCCTCGATATGTATAATCTTATCTGAAGACAAATATAAATTGTCTTTCAGCAAGAACATATGTTTCACTGAGTATTAAGATAGTGAGGGGGGATTCGAAGTCCTTTTGCTACCAGGCGTTCCGTGTCCTACTGGAGACGGGCGACAACCAGTCGAGTCAAGTAGCAGTGCTATTGCCGCGTGTTGCAATCATAAAAGAACAGGGTAATTTAATTAATCGCCTACATGTATAAGCGTCGTGTCATTCCAGCAAACTCCTAACAAGGTTAAGGTGACAACTGGGTCACAAAATATTTATCAAAATAAACTGGAGATATGATACACTTGGATAACCGAGGATGGTTTTGGACGTCAGTCGAGTACAAAGTGGCAAATTGTAGGGCAAAGGCATATTTTCCGAACTTCAAGAGAAATTAAGCAATCAACAAATCAATGATCAAAGAAGACCTTTCACGCATATGCTCAAACAAGAAAAACATCTTCCTAAGAAATTATTTTAAAAAACCATTTGGACACAATGTAATTCTTTTTTCTAACTTGGCAATTTCTCATCTCAATTTCTGAACTATTTTTGTCTATTTCTAAAATGACGCAGATTTAGAAGGCTGTAGTTGATTCCTGTATCACCTGACCCTTTCTAAACCGAGGGATTACAAATTGCATAAACTGAACGTCAAAAAATCATTGTGGCTCTCACCCAGCAGTGCGATACTTCCTCAGCCCTACATCACAAGTCCAGCCAACATACAAACTCCATCTGCACTGTGCTACTGCTGGCATTAAGTCAGTTTCGTAGTAAATGAAGAGACGGTTCACGTAGTTTCCTTCCGAAATACAGGCTCATACGACAGACACGTCCATAACGGCTTTCTACTGAGTCCGGTTCAATATTTGGGTCCACATTACTTCATTCCGACCGAAACATCCGCCTATACGAGTATGCACGGTCGTGTAGCATGACGGCCGATTTTGAGAAAGGTTTTCTAATGGTATATGGAAAAACGGTACAAATTATGATTTGATGTTGAGCAACATTGATTTAAAGGTCACGAACGGAGCTTCATTGTGTTGTGTTACAGTCACGTGAACTTGAGAAACTAGTGAATCTGGTGTCCATATGGATACCTCCCAATGCTTGCCGAGCATCGTCACTTTCATTCGTTCCGTTCTTCCATCACCCCATTCGTGACCAACTCGTGTTATTCCGGGACAAGCCGAATAGCGACTCGTGCCCCTCTCGTGGCCATTTTTGCGACCGGGTTCCGTCTTAGCGCAAACGGGCATACCAAAAATAATTGTCAATTCGTCGCGTAATGGTTCACATATATTTCCCCATATATTAATATATATATTTCAGATGCAATTTAAAGCACATCTGGACAAGCGGAATTATACAGTATGATTGAACACATTTAACTGTGCCTTTTGTATATTTTTAGATGCAAGACATATGTAAAATCAAAAATTATTTCTGAGGGATTCTTTGACGAAGAACTTGAAATCATGTGGGCATTCTGATTGGTTTGTCGTATTTTCGCACATAACATTCATCGATAGGGGGACGAGTCTTCTTGCAGGTTACGGAAAGAGGCGAGGTGTGACTAATGCCATCACCCGTGAATCGTCAAGCCTTATAGTGTAGTCGCTATTTTGAACCAACCAATCAAACAACGGCCTGTTTCTAGCGAGGGGGAAACCGGCAGGTGCTCGGGCCAATGAGTGAGTGAGTGAGTGAGTATGGTTTTACGCCGCTTTTAGCAATATTCCAGCAATATCACGGCGGGGGACACCAGAAATGGGCTTCACACATTGTACCCACGTCGGGAATCGAACCCGGGTCTTCGGCGTGACGAGCAAACGCTTTAACCACTAGGCTACCCGACCGCCCCTCGGGTCAATGAGCGCTCAGATGACAACGATCACGTGCAACATGTGCCAAGGCACACTATACGGGTCAGCGAAAGGGTTTATAAGGGTTCCCTTCCTCAACAAACGTCACATTCCTAGTTAATGGAATAAACTGACCAAAAGACTAAGTAATACTAACTACCTGAGACTAAGTATACGTAGTCTGAGGTTTCACTATATATTCGATAGCATTAAACCTATTCACAAAGAGCAGAGTAAACAAATACGTTTGCACAACGTCAAGGCCTGATGCAAAATTACCAACTCCCCTGATGCGGGTGGTAGCGAAAGGGTTCAACTAATGTCACATGCCTAGTTACTGGGATAAACTGACCACGAGCCAATGACTGTCAGTGAGTGAGTTTGTTTCAACGCCGCTTTCAACAGTATTTCAGTTACATCACAGCGTGTCAGCTTGATAATGGACTGCTCGAAGTGACGTAGGTCACAAGCAAGTGCACGGCCCTGAAAGATCAAGGTTCATAACCGGAACGAATGTCGGATTCGGATTAATATCCGTCAATTCCGACAATCACGTCCGTCAAACTCCAGCAGTGAAGGAACGCAACTCTACATAGCGGGGCGACCTTGCCACTTTTATTGAAAGACATGGTGTAGACATTTCGTAAATGACCTTTCACACATTATTTTTAAAATTGACTTAATGTAATACCCTTGGAATAATTATAATCATCATCAATAATGATACTGGTAACAATACGTGCTTTCCATTTGGACATTCGGTCACGTGGTCAGTGTTAACTTGAAGGTGAGTGAGTGAGTGAGTATGGTTTAACGCAGCTTTTAGCAATATTCCAGCAATATCACGGCGGGGGACACCAGAAATGGGCTTCACACATTGTACCCATGTCGGGAATCGAACCCGGGCTTCGGCGTGACGAGCGAACGCTTTAACCACTAGGCTACCCGACCGCCCCGTTAACTTGAAGGTAACCGTAATGGTTGGCGCTACTTCAGGCGCAATTTGAGGTGAGGTGAGGTGAAATGGGGTTTGACGTCGCTTCCAAGATTATTGCACTTATATAGCGACGTGCATGCACGTGTGTGTGACTGCTTGTACTAGTCCGGACTGATGCCGATTTATAGTGCTAGCTCACTGAGATACCATGCCGTAGTTTAACATGAATACCCCACTCAGACACAGTATACTGACTCCGAGCCGACCAGTCCTTGTTTAAGCCCCTCAATGCCGAGCGCCAGACAGGGTAACAACAAGTACCATTTTTCAAACGTCTTTTGGTATGACGCGGCCGGGGATTGAACCCCAGGCCTTCCGCTCTCCTGGCGGACGCTCTTCCACTAGTCCACGGAGGCGGTCAGCGCAACTTGAGACTTAAAGAGTCGTCTCTATTGGGAACGTATGGATGTTGATGGACTTGCGGAGAAAATGTAAGGCTGTTAATGGTCGTAGCTACTTAATGAAGAAATACAAGGGTGTGAGGTTTGGATGGTGGATTCCCATCTGGGAAATGTATACGCTAAACTGTTAAGGGTCATGGAAACATTTATAGGAAATATTACAATTCTTCGGGTCATACCCACATTCAGGAAATAGTAGGCGACTAAGGTTTATGGCTAATTTAGTGAATAGTGGACTATTAAGAGGCGTGGCTACTTACTTAAGGAATATGTGCCTGCTTGGGCTTGCCGTGGCTTTTGTATTTAGGTGAGATCAGGTGAAATGAGATTTAACGTCGCGTTCGAGATTACTGCACTGTATACAGCGACGTTCATGCACGTGTGTGTGTGTGTGTGTGTGTGTGTGTGTGTGTGTGTGTGTGTGTGTGTGTGTGTGTGTGTGTGTGTTTGAATGAGTGTACGAGATCGCACTTATGCCGGTTACATAACGCCATCTGAGATACCATGCCGCAGTTTAACATGGAAACCCCACTCAGACACAGTACGCTGACCAATCCTGACGGTACTTGTTATTTCCCTGACTGGCGCTCGGCATTAAGGTGAGTGAGTGAGTGAGTTGGGTTTAACGCCGCTTTTAACAGTATTCCAGTCATATCACGGCGTGTCAGCTTAATGTGGGAGGAAAGCCCCAAGTGATGCAGGTCTCAGACGTTTACCACTTCGGTGAAACCCACGAGCACGGGTATGGTGCTGACAAACCTAGAAACATAATCGGGGCGAACAGGGATTCGAACCCACAATCATAGGTTTCTGGCATGCCCAAGGGACGCAACTCTGTACAGCGAATTGCAGCGCCTTAGACGACTGTGCCCCCTCGGCATTAAGGAGCTAAAACAAGAACCGGTCAGATCAGAGTCGGTATAATGTGTGTGAGTGGGTATCCAAAAGTGCGACATGTTATCTCAGTGAGCTAGTACTACAAAACTGGCACGTCGTAATACAAATGCAATAATCTAGAACGGTACGTTAAGCCCAATGTAACCTTACCTCCATAATAAAGCGCCTTCAACCGAACAATTGTTGAACGATTTAACCAGGAACGGAACTGTTCTTATTTTAACGTTGTTTTTTACGGTTTATGTTAAGGCCAAGACTACTTACATAAGCAATATAAGGGATATCCAGAGCCGTAGCTACGCTTGCGATACACGAACAGTACCGGTCTGGTCCGAAGAAGGCTGTAACATTGTCAGAAGCTGCCACCTCCATCATCTGCTTATAACCACGGACGTCACTTCCGTGTGTGTCTCGGAGCACATACTCAATCTTTACTCCATGTTTGGATAACATTTGTTTGTGGTCTTTCATCGCCAGGAAAAACGCCCCTCCAACGTGTTTGAAACCGCCTTTGTGTTCAGTGAGATAGGCCAGAGTGATGGTGGTGTTGGCTGCTGTGGGTGGCGCCAGCACCCCTACCGCCATCACAGTCACCCAGCAGATGACCGTCGGTGACCACATAGCTGCGTTGTTCACGTTGACCATTGGTTGTCCTCTTCAGCCATAACGGTATCGCAGTGGACTGGGGTTCTGGAATAAAATAACAGTTCATGTAATTGTTAGACATTTTAGTGTTTATGCGTCTCTGTTCTTGGCTCTGGTTTTAATGTTAAAATACACGATACTCTCATTTTAGATTGTATGTTTGTGATTAATGGGCAATTTAACCCTTTAAACTTTGAACAATGGAGATAACATTATCACATCGACTCTCTCAGGTGCAATTGCTGTGCACAATTAAACCGTTATGGAGCCAATGAAACAAACAGTTTTATCACGTCAACGTGAGCGCCCATGATACACTGATGACCTTGACCTCATAACTCTCGCCACAAATTCTAAACGTTGATCTTGTAAACATGTTGACATAAAATATGGAAGCGTGGGGGATCTGCTTACACATCAACCAGCAATATTTGAATTTAAGCCTTGGCATCGTAGACAATCCCTAAAGAATCAAAATTATCAGTATCGATCGACGTCGGGGAACATACATACTACATACCACGTTGTCTTTACAAGATAGTCAATACTCCAAATATATATACAATGTCAATGCAAGATAATAACCAATCTAGATTATCCATCGAAACAGATTCCATTTGCCGCAAAGGGCAAAAAACCTGTTTTGAAATTATATAAAGGGATCTCTGAAAGTCAGTGATGACAGCAGGTGTTTTAGAATAGGGTAAGCATGTCCTGCCCTACCAGTAGCACCCGACATTCACACAATTTGCATGAAGAGTATTTATTGCCTACCTATCAAGTAACCGATGACCCCGAAAATCCAATGACACAATAGTGCATTACTGAGTTTATTGAAACTAAAAAAAAGCTATTTGTTAATTTTGCTGTGTACAAGTTCAGAAATTCTTCTGCTTATAAGTAAAGAAAAACATTTAAGAAATACATAAGTTTGGCAACACAGGAGGGGAGCATAGATAATGCTACTGAGCTAATGATGAAAAAGCAGAAACATCACCCAAGCTGAAGTATATAAATTGTTAATGCATGAGAATAACCAGTCTAAATTTTCCACCGAAACAACAGATTCCATTTGGCGCAAAGCCATTGTTTCCAACTAATCCCCATTCCAGTCCCGCTGTTCAACGTGAACTGGATACATTTACTACTCAATTTCCAATATTCTGGGTGTCGGCTCGGAGGGGATTCTGGGACAGAATATGTCAAAGTGCCAAGAGCCGATAAACGGACGGACATACATATCAGGTAAAGGTTTGACAAGTTTACTTTTATATGTGTATATTTGCATTTATTGGACTGGATGGGTTATATATCTTGGTTAGCAACGCATTCCTAGTTTTAGCTTCGCCAAAGTGGTAAACGTCACAGACACGCATCGGGGTTTGACAAAAAGATATAAGTTATGTTGTGGATAAAAAACAATTATGGGATATTGAAAACAACTGTTTTTTAAGCACAGGCAGAAAACAGGTCCTCCTCCTTTTCCCTTACACACACGCACGCGCACGCAAACACACGCACACGCACGCACGCACACACAGACACACATCGCCCTATCCCCGCTCACGCACACCCGAATATTCATTGGCGGTCCCAGAAATGCTTCAGTGCCCCTAAGTGTCAATATTTGAATAGCCAATAAAAAGGATTTAGACGATACATGTACTGTTAATAATTAAGCAAATCGAGCCTGATGGAGGACCAGATATACCTGATAGATACCTCGTTAATTCAAGCCTCGATATCCAGTGTGAGACAACGCTGGCCCGTGGTCCCGCCAGATTCAGTTGGTTATGAATCATGACATGGTCCTGCCTACCCGACAGGGGACAGCAGATGAGACGATGCATTTTGTCCCATGCTTCAACATACATAGTAAATTGACCTCGTCGGGTCGGTGTGCTCATCACTATGCGATGGAGACAATGATTGACACCATATCGCATGACCTACCTTGCTAATGATGAAATGATTGCTTTGTGGTTGTATTTACCACACAGATATGTGACCAGCGTTCAGTGGGAGACACTGAGCGAACACTTTCTTCATGAAGTTGAGCCAGAATCAATATTCCTAGATACAGATTCTCACCAAAAATCATATAACACGTCAGCCCCGCTTTGTACTGATTAAAAAGTTGTACTGCTGAATTATGCGAAACATGCTAGGATTCCTCCATGTGGCATATCACATTCCAAATGTTCAAGAGGCCAGATTTCAAATGTTTCAGAAGTTGGAATCACAATGTTTCAGAAGCATAATCCCTAATGTTCCAAACGCTAGAGGCCCAATGTTTCAGAAGCTAGAGGTCCAATGTTTCAGAAGCTAGATGCCTGATGTTTCAGAAGCTAGAGGTATAATGTTTCAGAAGCTAGAGGTCCAATGTTTCAGAAGCTAGAGGTCCAATGTTTCAGAAGCTAGAGGTCCAATGTTTCAGAAGCTAGAGGTCCAAAATTTCAGAAGCTAGAGGTCCAATATGTCAGAAGCTAGAGGCCCAATGTTTCAGAAGCTATATGCCTGATGTTTCAGAACCTAGATGCCTGATGTTTCAGAACCTAGATGCCCAAAGTTACAGAACAAAGGTTCCCAGTGTTTCAGAAGCAGAAATTCAAATGTTTCAGAGGCACGGTTTCCAATGTTTCAGAAGCGAGATCCCGATTGCTACGTTCCTTAAGTTGTAGAATTCTAAATATATTTACACATGTTCATGACCAAGTACAAAATGTACCCGTGAAGATCCGGGGTAGAATAGGTCTTCAGCCACCCATGCTTGCCGTAAAGGTCGACCATGCTTGTCGTAAGAGGTGACTAACGGAGTCGGGTCAGGCTCCCTGACTTGGTTGATGCATGTCATCGTAACTCAATTGCGTGGATCGATGCTCATGATGTTAATCACTGGATTGTCTGGTCCAGGCTCGATATTTACTGACCGCCGTCATATAGCTGGTAAATTGCCGAGTGCGGCGTTAAACAACAAACAAACAAACAATCAAAAGTACAAAATGGTGAGAACAGCATGAGCCCTGACTCCTTCTCGGTGTTAAATCGTCGTACACGGTTGTTTTAGCTCTATGTGTGTGTGTGTGTGTGTGTGTGTGTGTGTGTGTGTGTGTGTGTGTGTGTGTGTGTGTGTGTGTGTGTGTGTGTGTGTGTGTGTGTGTGTGTGTTCAGATAGTGTTCTTCCTCCCCAGAAAGGAAATGAAACCTTTGTCAGATCAAACGATCAGTGAGCAGATCAGGCGTACATATCAGTAAAGCGGTTCCTCCCAGGAGCACGTGTTTTAAACAACCCTATCTGTAACCCACCAGGCGTTGGACGGAACATACTGCCTTCACTTTCATTACAACTGTAATACGAAGCCATTAACTAAAAGGTAAACGCGAGCCAACCACGAGTCTTAAACCGAAGGTGCTTGGAAAACACATTCTTGTGATTATATTGCCGTCTCTCGCTAGACAGTTCCTAAGGGACCTGAACTTTAGAGTAGATCCAAGTGTCTTCAGACTAAACAGTACTTTTCAATTAGAAACTCTTAAACAGTTGACATTGCAATGGAAGGGTCGAGTTCTTGATCACAAGCCCGAGACGTGACCAAGCTTAACCCCTATTCCCCATGACCCCCGGAGAACAGACGCCCCTCCCCCTCGCACCTGCGTCTGTCCCCAGGGTCTTGCACAAGGTAAACAGGCAGGACCAATCTCACCCAGACGGACACAGCCAAACAAGGATAATGTGTGTAATGGTCCACGTCTGACCTGCAATTTCCTGACCATCTTGTACTCTAGCCACTTACCGTCGTAGAAACGATATTGCTGAGGTGATTTCCATTGTAATTGGAGGCACTTCACCTTACGTCTACGTAAGCCCACCCCTAGGGCACAGAGGCTCTATGTAGGAATGCATTGATACACTTCTCTACAAGTACAAATTGCTTTCAAAGAGGTCCTCGCGGATATGTTCACACTTTGTGTGGTGGTGCCTTTATTTGATTGTTGTCGGTGGTGATATATATGGGAATTACCATGATACGTAGTGCCAATGAAAAGTCATGGTCACATGTACACCATGGTCAGGTGTAAGTTATGGTCAGATATTCGTGTTTATGTAAGACCACAGCTTGCTGTTTGTTTGTTTAAGATGAAAGATAAAAAGCTTGCGTCGATTTGTTTTATATTCGATTTGTTTAAATTCCTTATTTTATCATCACTATTATGCATTTTACTCATATTGAAATCTGTTTCGGAAGATAATCGAGACTAGTTATTCTTTCGTGTTGACGTTTTAAATGAAAGAATTAATTTCAGACGCTAGAATACTCAATCTGAGATCCAAGTTTAAGAAGCTATATTCCCACTGCATTTATAAGCTTCATCGTCATTGTTTCAGAAGCTGCGGCCGAAAGCATTTCAGAGATCCAATGTTTTTAGTCCTCCCGGTCGATGTCCCACTCACGTGTCGCCTTAATCTGTATTGAACAGAGTACTACCCGCGAATATATATTTAGGGTTCAAAGAGTTTGGACTTTGCCGACTTAATATGCCTTTGTAGGGAATTTTGTTCTTCACGGAGGTAAATTGTGCAGCTATTTTCTTTCGAGCCTCAACACTATGAGAAATAGGAAGTAAAGTAGCAGCGATTTCGTCGAATAAATTATATGTTTTCCTTGGCCTTACGTTATATTCTACTTGACCTTTTCTCCACGTTACAATTTGCAACAGGAATATCTCGTAATTTACTCACGGCAATAACACTGGAGCTACCATTTGATATAAAATGGGGAACAAGAGAAACCATTATGGTTGTCATTTGATTTTAATAAATGTATGATTTTCAAATGAAAATATCTTAAGTTAGAGATAGTATATCCAAAAGATGAACTGTACTGGCGCATAGTCAGCACCTAAAGAATACATATATATGGTTGTATTTTTAAATAAAATAAGTAATGTGATTTAAAACTTTTAAAATTAAAAAAGTTAAGCATATTACACACCTGCTGATGGATATGTTAGACATCTTATTTTTAAGAATCAAATTTGCGGCA